CCGACGAGCTTGAGGCGACCCATTGTTCTCCTTCCCACTGCGTATTTGGAGCAAACCCATCTCACCTTGTCTTATTGGAACACCAGGATTACACCCTGTTCAGCGCTCTGAGGCGTCCCCGAGGAGCCGGGACATTGGGGAACTTTTACAGCGCGTGTTGACAGAGCCGAGTGGGATTCAAACCCTGGCCTCAATCAGGCCTCCTGGGTGAGCCTGTGAGGGAGCACGCTGTCCTGCGGCGCTTTGAAGCTGTTGAAAAAGGGGGGGAAAGCGGGGAGGGGGCCAACTCCCTCCTCGATGGGATCCAACTGGGCAGGACGGGACCGTTTGAGTACGACAGAGAAAAGATGGCAGCGTGGAGAGCGGCGTGCTGGAGAAGATGTACGGTATTTGCTAATGTCTCATTTGATAAGCCGGTCAGATGTTTTCAACCTGTCACATCAATCAATTACTGGGGACTATTTCTGTTACACTATTTTTGTATCCTTGCCGGCTTGGAAAGGCACCAGCGCGCGGCTCATCTGAGCCAGCATATCGACCTGTCTGCTCACAACTGTGTCCCACTTTGTCTCTGAGCATGTGCTGTTGTGGTGATTTGTCCAGTCAGGCACATGTATCCTCTACAGAAGTACGGGACGGGAGCTCCACACCGAACTCTGGGTCACATTTATGCATGAAAATCTGCGAGAGTCGACGGCGGCGTCCTGTTTCTCGCACATACACCGAAGCCGAGCCCAGTCCTGGTTTGATTCTTTGATGACGCAACAGCTCGGTGCAAATGGAGGTTAGCGAGAGACTTGATATAATTGATGAAAAGAATGAGCTGACCTAATTTGATGGTGGTGCTAAAACGTTTTGCTGCTTCACTTTCTCTTGTTTCTCGCCGTACTAGAACCTGAAGATCCTTTCAGACGACTTGACTACCGAAAGCTAAAATGAGTTGTTTTTGAAAGCGATTCCTCCGGAGCACGGCGCTTCATGTCCTCGTGTTACTCAAGAGAGTCCCGCAAACTGCTGCCTCGCTCCTTTTTCCTCTTCAGCCGTATAAATAAAGACGCTCTGCCTGGTCCTCGCCAAGCTGTTCAGTTGGTTTTGTCAGGCTTCTTGGATGTGAGCGTCTTGGTTTCAAATATCACAGCATGGAGACCCCCCCCAAACCCCCCAAACCCCCCTCTCTTTCCCTAGCCGACTCTGTTTCTCTCTTAACTCTTTGGATACATTCCCCCTTGATTATAAATAGATTATAATTAGCTCCTCCAGCCATGGGCAATATAATTGTTCATCAAGTAGAGAACTGCACTCAGAGGCCTTGATACATTAAAGCTCGTGCAAAAGTCAGAAGAATAGCAAATCCCCTCTGCTTCAATTTAAAAGAAAAATTCTCAGCAAAGCATAAATGTTACTGTATGTTATCAGTTAAAGAATAGTTTCGCAGTGCAATTCATTTTCCCTCATGACCCAAAAGGGCTAAGAAGACATCAGCCCCCACTTCCGACCTCCGAATCACGTGTCATTTCATGACATTTATAAATATTGGTCATGAGACCCTCGATTCATTCATCATCTCCTCTGGGATCAGCTGATGTCCGTTATGGGGGACGGCCCCTCCCTTCCACCAGTCCTGTGTCCTGTTTGCTGTCTTGCCGGATGTTGATTGACAGCTGATGAGCTCCACCCAGAGCCTGTGGTGACTGTTATAAAGGCTCTATTATCTGAACGTGGATCGTCTTTGGCTGATGGTTGATGTTTTTTTAGCTTAGTATGTTCTTCAATGCGTTTCCGTACACAGTATCTCACATTACTAGTTTAACAAAGACTTACAACTTTTACTTCCCCATCTTTCCATTTCATTCAAAGATGGTCCAGACTAAATTCTTAATCTATGGCCAGAAAAGAAATAGCACAATTTTTTAACTTTCTCTCTGTCATATTCACGTCTCCAATTTGTTCTGTTAAACCAATCTTTCCCGAATTTTTGTTCCAAAACGTTACAATATTTGTTGTTTTAATAAAAGGGCACTATTCAAAGATAAGTAAGAAATCATTCCACACTGAGGTTAAACTCAACCAGTTGTCAGAGGAATTATGCTGCAAATTTCTCACTGAAATAAGGGAGCGTTTTCTCTTTGAAATGAAAAAATCCTCGAGGCTGTTGAAGATTGTACACTGTGAACTTTGTTCTTACATACACACCAACATTTTCAAACGCATTCAGGATTTAACAATGGAAAATAATGAACTGGCTCTGCAGTGATTTAGTATGAGCCAAACTCTACATTACCTGTTCCTGTGCAGACAAAGAGCCCAGTCGGCATCTGGTCTCATGTTTCCTGTCTCCACTGTCGTATGAATACGCTCCATCTACTCACCCGGCAGCTGTCTGTCCTGTTGTCCTACAAACGCAGCGCAGCTGCCTTTACTCTTACCTTGAGCAACGTTAGTGTTTGTCTCTAAAGCCTTGTTCGTCTTGCATCAGGCGGGTATGTTGCTTATCCAAATGCATATATAGCTTGAATTCAGATAACCGCGCGGAAAACAACCGCCGGCATCAATGGAAGGCTGTCATTTTGTGGGAAGCAGCACATCTATTGCATTTCGAGACCCGACCCCCACATGATGGCTTGCATGGCCAGCAAAGTGTAAGTTAATGGCCTCGGAAAAAAAAGCCTATTTCATCTCTTAGTCACACTGCCTCTGTATTCTCTTGAAAATTGGCCCTTAATACCGACAGCCAAAGGGCGTCAATTAGGCTCTACAACCAGAACAAAGCTCTTTTTGCATTTAACTACCCAGCATGTAATTAGGTTTTATTTTCGCTGGAATTAATAATTGTATTAAAACACGTTTGTCTGCTGATAATTATATAAACATGTGTTATTGTAATTGTCATCATAGAGATTTAAATAAGCATTGAAATGGTGGGGCGAGTCTCATTCAGAAATGTGAGCGTCGATGGATTTTCCTTTTACCGCTAGATGCATCCACATAATTCGATAAATGCAGAACTTGTGAGTTTCTGTTGCAATCAGCTCAATTGTACTGCTCATCACCTGAACAACTGGCTAAACAACTGGCTAAACAATGGGGAAGGAGATATTATATGAGCGGCATGGTGAACAGAGCAGACAGTGAGAAAATAGAACCATGCTGCCCTCTGGATGTAATATAAGAGAAGTGCTTTTCTCAACTAGAAACCGTTTTTGATATTGTTTCCGAAGTCTTCTTCATTTCCTTGTGTTTCTGAATCAAATTCGATTCAATTGAATCTTAAATTGTAGATCATAAGGGATATTTTGTGTCCAAACAAAACATGTATTATTCAAATATATATATATTATATGAGGCATATATATATATACGCTTTCTGAACAACTGCTATCTAAGGGGACACAAGCAAATACAAAATGGGAAATTCTTGAAAAAAAAAAAAACGTGCTTAGAGATTAATTCAACAGCGCTGGGTGACTTAGTCACATCTGTAAAGTCTGAATAGTTATAATTAGTCTAATAGAAAAATTACTAATGAATGTTTTGAAGAATGACACTGCCATTTTATGTGAATAAGCCAAGACATTTTGAAGCAAAACAACCGAAATTAAAAGACACATTTCCCAACCCAGCGTCCAAAGCTCCACGCTGCTAACTGTAAGACAGACAAACACCTTATACATTGTTTATGTGTGTATTCCTTTTAAACTGCATGTGAGGATTTCTATCTTTTCTCAAGGTAAAACATGTTGATAGATGAGAGTTCCCTTATTCTCTTTTTTCAATTTCCAGGAAAAATATACCTCATATGAATGATTATGCTGTAAGTAAGACCTGTAGAACTAGAATCAACTTGTATACGCTTACTAAAAGACTTAATTCCATATACAAACCATATTTTCAACTGTTTTTCTTTTCGACAACAGATGGTCTTGGCATGAAAGTGAGATGGTGCCTAGTGACCTCTGGCATTTGTGGAATATTTTACTATATGAGTTATTCATATCTCCCTTATATAAGTCGTCGCTATATTTCTACTTGTTTGTTTGAATTGTCTTTAATTAATTAACTATTAATTTAAAAAAAACAATAACAAACGCAAACACTGTTGTGTGACTTGTGTTTATATGAACCAGCAGGGGGCGCTCGTGGTCTGGGAAAGAGATGCCAGGGTTTACCTTTTAAAGGAAAAGAGCTTTGTTTTTTCCCCAGATCATTTTCTGAAGGGTTCACTCGAAAGGACTAAGTTGAAGCTAAAAGCGCCCTAAAAAAACAAAATGCACGTACATTCGTTTCACCCACTGGCTCTTTTACTTATGTGTAGCTGCTGGAAGCCAACCCCTGGGGCTTTTCTGTCATTTAACCCCTGCGTGCACAGTACGTCTGCCTATTAGCAGGTTACCTGTACTAGACGCCTAATGCAATGCATGCATTAGGATTTAGCGTTTGTGTGTCTGTGTGCCTGCGACACAGAAGGAAAGCAGGTCTATCGGCGTCGTGTGTAGCTCGGGGACCCATTTGCTCAGGGTCTTCCCTGAATGGGTGCTAGCTGGACGGGCCATCAACCAGCTCATTCACATAGTATAGTTAATCCGCCCCTGTGTGTTTCGGCCCTGCTCTGGAGAAGCCTGATGACTATTTGAGCCACTACAGCTGCTGCTGTTGTTGTTGACGACGAATTGCATGAGCCGGAGCACCGATGGTTGACGATCCCCCTCCATCCCGGCTGGATCCCGGACTCCATGTTTTCCGCCCTCCCCGGCCATTATTTTATTTACTGAATGCCCATATCCCTCCGCAGGGTCAGAGAGTATTTTGAAGAAATTGTCAAACGTTTTGCGTAGTATTCGTATCACATAATCATATTGATGTCACCAAACGTTGTCCGCGCTCGCAAATCACCAATTTTTCGACGGCGCAGACGGGCCCGGAAAGATGTGTACGCCGCAGTTGTGGTAGGGGGGAGGCGGATCTACTTTTCGAGGAGCCTAGAGGGGTTGTGCTTCGGTCTCACTTATCATTAGATATGGCCACCGTTATAGAGTACATCGAAGCGTAATCTTTAACTTAATTTAGTGAGATTAAACAGTAATTTTGCAGCTCGGCCACCGTGGAAGGCGACATGTTATTGTCGGCAAGCTAATGTTAGTTTTTACATGTCTTTGGAGGCGGTTACTGCGTGGCAGGCCGGCTGCGAGAGTCTCCTAACTGGCCGCTTGGTCCCGCAGTTTGTCGATGCTGAAGAAAATAGAACCAGTTGCCAACCAAGCGGTCGGCACCCGACGGTCGCTCTGCGCGTCGCTGTGTGCTCGCCGAGGATTCTGATCTAGACTTTAATTTGCAGGCTGTTGACTTTTGCAGCCGCTTGGATTTTGGCGCTGAGTTGTTTATACGTTTTATGGTAAAAAAAAAAAATATATTTGTTGGAGGTAGACTCGGGTGGCTAACAGCAACTAACGTTAGCTCTATAACCCGAACTCGTGCGACGACAGCTGTCATTGGAGAAAGGAAAGTGATCCCCGCAAATGCGTGTGCAACTGAAGCGGTTTTCTGTTGGATTTACATCATCTGCCTTCCCATCAAATGGGCAAAGTTGGGAATAACATTACAACGTTGGAATATAATGATATGCGTGATGCATTTTTGAGAACTGCGGTGTTGCTTCATTGGAGAGGCTAGCTAACTCCATTAGCTTGCTAGCTAGTTGGCTGATAAAAGTGCGACGTTTCATCCCCAGTATTTTGGATATGAAGAGGATAATTCGCTATTCATAGGGCTGGAAGGTAAGCCGCAATGGGATATTTACTTATTTGTTGTATGTAAGCAAGATTTGTTTTGCTTTCAGCTTGCGAAGTAAAGCTGAGGCAACATGATCAACCTCCAGTCTGAGGTTGGGGGTTTGTCGCCGCCTTGGCTTTCATGACTCAGGCTATTCAACGGAACGGAACATTCAGGGGGGCGATTCACGGGTGATATTCAGGAACACACGGGAAACCGCAAATGTTTCCCGTTCAACACAACACGCGCCGTCGACATTTCGCACCCATCTAGCGTCAGCTAACGCCAAAAAAGCAGAAAAACGAAGCTTACGTCATTGTATAACGTATCATTTTCACTTTTTGTGTGGCATTGTAGTCCCCCCCACCCCCCCCCGAACAGTTCCGTTCCAGTAAATAGACCGAGCCTTTGTGTTTGTGTGTCGGTCACCAACGACCATCGTTACAGGAACGTTACCCGGTTGTAAGTTGGCCAACGGACAGCCCGGTCGTTACACGTTAAGTTTACCCCCCCCCCAGCCAACGTTAGCCGCCGGACAACAAAAGGCTGGAGCGTTGGTGTTTTGCTGTGTTTTTTGGGGGTGGTGGTGGGGGGCAAAGGCGTTAGTTACAAGCTAGTGCGACGAGTTGGCCAACTAATCGCAACCACAGCGTAACCTGTTTGCTAACGTCTCGCCAATTCTCCTTTCAAAGTTGTCTTTCTGACTGACGTCCGTCAAACGCGCACGCAGCGACCCGACGCCAGTTGTTTCCACGTCTCCGTTGTATACGAAACGCGGGGTCGTTCCTCTCCCTGCGTTCGGCTCGTTCAAACGACGTCAATTGTTTTAATTTCGTCTGTGGTCGCCGAAGGAAAACGGCGACCGAGTTCAACACAACGGGTTAGCATCGCTAGCTGTGCGCCGCTGCTTTGTGCCCGGGCTGAGTTAGACAAAAGCTAACGTTAGCACGCCTCCCGATTGCGACGATAGTGGTGGTCGTGACTGACTCGCAGGCACCGGATCCCAACCTCGGATGCTCCGAAGGATCAACGTTATTCTCGTCACTTTCTGCCATTCAATCTGGTTATAAAATGGTCCTTATCCAACTAATTGCTGTTGCATCACCACCGGTAGTGTTGCGGCGAGCAGTGCAATGTTAAGCCCTCGTTTCTCATCTTAAGGATTTAGGCTCACATTTCGTAGTTTTATGGTTAATTGTTCTGACACTTTCGCCATTGCAGCGAGTAATATTTCTCGTGGAGTTTGGTGTTAGTGGACCACCATCTGTCCTCAAAGCCTGTAGGCCAATACAGACATAAGAGAAAGAGAGAATTAACACAGATCGGCAGTGAAATGTGGTATGATGTCCACAATCTCTCAACAGCCCGAATAGAGAGCTGCCTCTCTCATTTCTGAAATCATTGTAGGCCATGCAGGATCCTTTCAATCCAACGGACACATGACAAGACACCGACAGCAGTAATGATAAATGACCGTTGGGGAAAACAAAATGTGCTCAATGCCACTCAGCATTCATATTGCAGAAAAATAAGTTGCCATGCAAAAGAATACAAGGTCATGTACAATGAATCCCACTGGTTTAAAACCATTTCGCTGCTTTCCTTAAAACTAAATCTAAAGAAGTTGACCGTTGTCCACCGGGAATTGAATTTTGCTACAGAAAAACGAGCCAGCAAGTGGTTTGTGTGTATTGACGCATCTAACGTTCGAAAATTATTATTTGTATATGAAAACATGCTATGTTTGCTGTAATGTGTTGCAGAACACACCACTCTTTTTTTCTTTTTTTTTCTTAGAAATTTCAGGTGAGTTTAGAAAAGTCCAAGGGATGATTGTGGAAGTTTTTGTGAAGGGGATCGAAAGTTTGAAACTGCAAAATAAACTCGCTGAAACACAGCGGTGATGCAGTGCTACAGTCAAACATTTAACACAACAAACAGTCCCTTGCTTTCTTTTCCAGCAGGAAGAAACACACATGAGCATCCCATTGGATATTACTGACCACGACAAGAATGCTTAAGTAGTCTCTTACCCTGTCCGCCAAGAACAATATCTGCTCTTTTTAAATGTCCCTTACCAGCCAATTTCGTCCATGTCTGTATTGGAAATGTGCACTGTAGCCAAAGCAGAACATCAGGAGCAGCTGTAGTCAGACATAACTGTCAATGTACTTTACTGTTGTGGAAACAAAAGCAGATTTTTGACAATGCCCCAACGACCGAAGAGAAACCCCAAAAACTTGTGTGAAGCTACAATCATTTCTCATGCAGCTGTTGTTCTCTCGTGAATAAAAATACCACTTGCTGTACTGCGTTGAGTAAAAGCCTTACCGCGTGGCCGGGTTGAGAGAGGCGTGATGCTGTGAGACACACCTGTGCAGGCAAAAATTCTATGGATCAAAAGCTTGTGCCTCATCTCAACGCAGTTGGACGCCATCATTATAGTGACAAATAAAGAACTATCTTTTGGAAGTATGGTGTCCACGCCTCCAGTGTAGTCAAAGGTTTCCGCAATTAAATGACATAAAGGAAGAAACCCATGGGAAATGGTCAGAGGTTAATATTAGGTTTTTAGAGTTTAAACAATACGCACAAGCAACACAGTGGAGGGAAAAACATTCACATCTTCTGTTTTAGATTTAGATGGTTCTCCATCTTCTGAGTTGGAGATTTAGGGAATTTTTTAAGCAGACTGAATCTTCCACTTGGAAGTAGTCGTTTTTTAACACCGGCTCACAGAATGGCTGCAAAGGGACAAACCCACTGGCAACCGCATCAAAATGCAATATTACACAATAAAAATCCATTCTGCTAAGTTGACAAGAGCCATGTTTGTTCGTATCTGGTTTCCTTTGGTCATAATGATACAAACTGGTAACTTTCATCTTAAGAGATGGGTAGCTGTATTTGTGTTGCATCTCTAGAATGCTCCTTTTTTTTGGGACATTGGACAACTATTCGTTTCCTATGGTGTGAACGCTGTTAAACCGAAGTAGGGTACATCTGTGGATACAGATACTCGCTAACTTCAACTCAAGTTTGAATCACAACCATCGTATTGTATCCATTAGCAAAACTAAAGACCCATCAAAAAAGATGACTTATTAGGAAAGATGTTCTTTAAAACGGTACTCACCTCCTGGGGGGGCGTGGCCACGGTCATATTCCTGGAATAATGTTTGAACAAAAAACAGTGTTTTTACTGTTTTGATTCTGCAGAATATTCCCGCAACAATTGAGTGCATCTCTGGTGTATATTGGTGCGAAAACATCTCCTAATTTATTCATGTTCGCGTCAGAGGCGCTGCTAGTCCTCTTCCGGTCAATTTCCATTGATTTGTATTTCACTGTGTAACATTATCATGGATTGGCAAACACAAAGCAAAAATGGCAATGTGCATACTGCACATCTCCGCTCTGTAAAACCACTTTTCTCACTGTGGTGTTTGAACTGTGCAGTCAATTAAGCGTGATGGCGGGTCCATATGGATTACCGATGGGCAGCGCTCTGTTATACCACTATTCATCACAGTAACTAGTGTGAAGTATAAAGCATCAACGTTTTATCAGTGTTCGCTAATTACTGACGAAACAGGCGTGTTAAAAAAACAAAAACGTTTCCTTAATTTGGGTATTTTTTGAAATAAATTCAATTGAGACGTGAGTGTGTGTTCCCCCAGAGATATTAAAGGGAATAGAACAATCTTTGGTAGTCCGCAAAACGTCTCATGGTATTCAGGTCATTTCAACATAAAGTGAATGTCCGTCTTACTTTGCGTACTTCACGTCTCATTGTACAATGTAAGTGAAGGGCAGAATCCTCCATATTTACCACGGAGCTGTCTGGAGGGAGTTTTCGTTCAGTGGAGTTTGCGGCAAATGGAGAACCCGGAGCTGCTGGATGTGGGGGGAGGAGAACGAATGCTTCCCATGAAAAGTCATCTCCTTCTCCCCGTCCACTCTGTGGAAGGTTGTTATCAGCCATAGGTGTGGGAGGAACCTCACGGTTAGATTCCATGGTTAAGATGTGATTATTAAACAATTATTGATTCATCTTGATGCATCATAAAAAATTGTAAATTATTTTATTTCTTCTTCCTGTGACTGTTATGTTTGAAGCGTTGCATCGTTTTAATGATTGGTTTTCTTTTATTGGTTGAATGTAGTAATAAAGAGAAGTCATCTGTCATCTGGAGGGTGACATTTACAAGCATTGCAATGAGAATAAGCAAGAAAATGAGAAAATGAACTGTTACGGTGACACTAGATCCTCTGTGTTTTTAACATCATACTCTCTTTTACTTCCATGACTTTACTTCTGGTTTTGTTGTAGTCTTGTTGTTTGAGTGTGGATTGGGTTTGAGGTCGAATGATCGAATGTCGAAAAAGTGTCTACTTTGGAGAGGAGCGGAGGAAGCGAAAGGCTTCCGAGCATTCATTTGTTGGACCGCGAGGAGCCGGTTAAATCGTTTCCATGTTCAGCTGCTTAAACTCAGCCGGCGTCACCAAAACTCTCGACTGCTTGTATTTAGACTAATTTAGAGCCTAAACAAGTAGCGCGTCTTCGGGGTCAGGGTTGAAGAACGGAAAGCCGCGTGCCGCAGAATGGCCGACCCCAACCATAGTGTGAAAACAACAGAGCTGCAAACCGGTCGTACGTCTTACTGTTGATTTCAACATTCATCACAATCTCATTTCTGAACAATTCTTTCAGAATGTCATCGGAGGATAAGACTGTGGAACCCTCTGACCAGGGACCTTCACCGCCCCCCATCAGTGTAGGGGCCACGTCCACAGGAAGTCCTGCCCATGCAGACAAGCGACCCCGTGGCAGGCCACGCAAGGATGCTGCCGCCACCCCCTCCTCCGCCACCACCCCCTCCACCACCCCCCTACCCCAGGCACCACCCTCGGCCACGTCTAAGAACAGAAAGAAGTAGGCTTTTTACTCAAAGTAATCGTGTGTATTTTCAGGTCTACTCTGTCCTCGAATTAGATGCAATTCATTATCTTGAAAGGTATCGCCACACCGTTAAACCTTTCACATGACCCAGAAAAGTGTCCCGTACAATGAATCGCCGACGACATTTCAGACGTGGTGCCGTCGATTCTCTTCACCGCTCGTCTGCATCAGCTCATGTTGTTTTATACTAAATGTTGGGGAACCAAACTTGCTTCTAAAATGACTTTCTTAACGCTATGTTACCGGTTCGGTCCGGCTAAAACATGAATAATTCATAACACCCGTGCTCATGTACTATTACGTCACCTCATGTAAACAAACCACGTACCCGTCAGCTGTGCGCTCTAGATCAGACTGTACACACTAAACATATACGGGTAGTGCTTGTCATATTCTTCAATTTGCGCTACAAATGGGGAGGTGTTCTATAGGTATCACCCGCGGCCAGTTAGGACACGTTGTGAACCAAATACACAGAAATAGATACAACATTTCAAATTTGGCTGTTTTTTAAGAGCAAATATAAACCTAATCTTTGGCCACTTTTGACCCATTTACTAGTTAGTAACTATTAGCGCATGTACGGTTACGAAGCAACCAAAACCATATCGTGAAATTTGGATAGGCTGTAATTGTTATTTAAAAAAAACAAGAAACTCTAGGCATTTGTTTATTTGTATATAAATAATATTGTATATGTATAACTCTTAAAATGAATGTGACGTAGAACTGCTTATAACCCCTCCTGGTGCTTGAATAGTGTCATTCCCCACACAGCATATTACAGGATTAGTTAGCTATGTGAAATTCACAGTTTCTACCAATCCATCGTTTTAAACATGGTATAGAACAGAAACGTAGTTAACACAGTACCTTATAATATGCTACAGGGGAAGATATCGAAACGAGGCCCTCAGCCACTACAGTTGTCTTCATTTCTTAGAACTTTTCTAATCATGTTTTACACAGCATCTGTTGATGTTTTGTGCTTTGCTGTTGGTTGTTCAAAACGACCATTTACTTTTTGATCAAATGTCTTTAGAAGTTCTTGTCAAGGGAGATTCAACAATTCCACAGTAGCTTCCGGAGAAATCTCTGAGATATTGTACAAGGTGCCTGGCTTTCCTCTTGACTTCCATCGGAACGTATAATGCAGCTTAGAGCTGCTCTGTAATATAATGCCCTTCTTATCTCTCTCCTTAGTCCGTCCTTTCAATCAATGTTAATTCCCTGCTCCCGATGGATGGTTTAATCTGCGAGCATCCAGACGATGGACAGTGGAAGGATGACCTGGTGCACACCCTAAATGCTTCATGTCAATGAACTGGTTAACGACAAACCGCTAGCAGATCTGTGCTTAGTTATTAGGGTTCTAGTGTTGCGTTGGTCAAGTCTGTGTTTGTGTGTCTGTGTCTGTGTGTGTCATGGTCATCGGCTTCCTGTAAAGGTTGCAGAGCGATCCACTGCACCTCCACAAAACGCTCCAATCCGCCGACTCGGGCTTCGAGCTCTGTGGGTGCATCTCAGGTTGTCACGCCCCCAAGCCAATTCAATGCACCCTCATTTGTCAGGTAATGTAACTACAGGCTCATAGGTAGCAGGTTCCAGGCCTGGTATGGCTTAAAACTACCTGTTAGGCAGTGTAGAAACCAAACTGTACCAACTGTAATACACTCGAGAGGAAAACAACTTCACACAGCGGTTAATTATCTGCATAGCACAGCAGTCTCCTGCTCACACCGACCGGCTTCCTCTCCAAATGGATTGTGTGTGCATATTAAAATGACCAATGTCAAGTGTTGAAGCCCCTTTGCTCGTGACAAAAGAGAACGCGTAAGACATCGCTGCGTTAAGACCTGGTTGGTGAAATTTGCTCGATTTGCCCACGCTCCATCTGCTAGTCAGTCCTTTTTCTGGAGCCGCACGCTCCGTTCCAGGTTTTCCAGGCAGCACGCTGCTGGCTGGAACTACTTACCAGAGCATTATTTTCACCTTTTCCTTTTTTCTCTCCCTGTGGTGGGACTGTGGGGGGTGGGGTGGGGAGGGGACAAGTTGGGGGTTTGGGGTTGAACGCTAGTCTTGAACGTTTGTCGACGGTCTCAATGTGGGGATGTGATGCCTTTTTGGAGGAATTGTATGAAATTACGGTTGAATATCACGTAGCAGTCTTAGGGTTAACACGTCAGCGCCAGCAGCTAGGCTGCGCGCGTTCACCAGATTGCTGTCACGGATGGAAATGTCCTGCGCGGCACATTTCGGCGTTTACCTTTAGGAATTAAAACCTCATTACATGTTTACAACAAAAGTGTTTGATGTGTACACGTGAGGGGGGAAAAAAAACCTGCAAGACGAATGGGGAAGATGGGGGTACTCCACCCGTGACAGTGATCTACAACCGAAAAGATGTACGGCCTGTTGCTGTGCGATCGGTCCTGCATGGTGCAAAGCTGTGGGGCAGCCATACGTGACCCTGACCTCTGGTGTCGCGCTGAGCAGCTGATGTATAGTTTCAAAAAAATGTCTACAATGACATTGTGTGTCCAAACTTATGGTTAGAAAATTGTGCCTTCAGTTTGTCAAAACAGATTTTTATCATTTTGGTTTGTGCAGAAATAAGTAATCCGTTGCAGTGTTTTTTCTTGGTTTATCTTTTATAGTGTTGCATAAGGTCACCAATTATTATTGTCACTACTCTTTGTTCCTTAGGAGTTCAGTAAGATTCTGTCATGCAGAAATCGCAGCGTGATCCGTAAATAGGAGTTAGAATTTGCTTGTTTGTTTCTCCCTTATTAAGATGTTTCTGTTTGACTCGAGCTTACAGGTAATTATGTTTTTAGTCGAGGTTTGTCAGAGGCCTCCTCTGTCGTTCTGTCGCTTTTTAGGCTTGTTCTTTATCTTGACACGGAAGTAATTTCGAGGGAGGGGTTGATTTGGCATGGAGCCATTTGGGATTTTTCTCTCCAGTGGCACCGAAAATTACCCCACCCCTCCACCCCTCCCCACCCTGCCATCTCCTCCCTCCCTTCCAGCTCCCTGTACCCATGAGACGCGCGGCTCTCATTTGGCCTGTGCTTCCTCTATCCAGTTAGCATGCTAACAACTGATGCTATTTAATTTGTAACCACGACAATCATTCCTTCCACATTGCGCTTCAGAGATTAGTTTATCAGAGCTGTCATTGGAGGATGCTGACACTGACAGATCTTCCCATACTGTATGTAAAGGGGGGGGGGGGGGATCTACTGCATGAGTTGGCACAAATGCAATATGGTTAGAAAAAGAAAGACACGGTTCTCAGATATGTTGACATGCCACACTGGGATGATTGTGCTCTTTTTCATAATGGCTGTATTTAAAATGTCTCGGTTTAAAGCTGTGATCCCGTCCGTTAAGAGATGACTCAGGGAATTCTTAAACAGGAGCCGTAATGAGATATTTTTGGGTCACTCAACAGGAGGCTGACACATGAGAAGGGATATCCTGATCAAGTTTTTTAGCTTTGGATCTCAATCCAATCCCTTTAATAGTGAGTGATTTAAACATATGCTGTTCAGACCTCATTGTGTCCCGTAGAGAGATATAAAGATGTTGTGGCTGGTAGTATTGGACGCAGGTTTTTGCCGGCTTGCTCCATTATATGAACAAACCGCTTCAATTTGTTACAATAAACCACAGGTGTGTCCCTGTACTAGCTGAGGTTCACTGGCTTTATACGCTGTGTGTTCGGAATATGCTGCAGCATTTAAATATAAAGCAAGAGGAGAGAGCTTCTAAAAGTGATAGCAAGGGTCAGTATTAAACCATATTGTATATTTTCCTATACATGTGCCGATACTATACCTGGATTGGAACACGGTTGTCATGTTAGATTGTGAATATTTAAAAAGAAAAGCTATATGACCTACGTGTCTTTAATATAAAGGAAGTTTATTTTCAAAAAACGATTGTTTGAATTCACAGACTGACACCAGTTTGAACCATGAGGATTACGTCGCCGTAATGCTCCGGACCTCCTGCTGATATGGTTTGATTATTCATTTGTAGACATGGCAGGTAAACTGTTGGATTAAGCCAAAAGCCCTTTAAGTCAGTGGTCCATCAACCACTGGGCCGTCACATGGTAACAGGAAAAAGCCTGTTAGCTTGTTAGCGTGTTACCTGTTGTGGCTGCTAGTGTGGCCACCGGAGGCAAAACCAGCCAAATAAATCGTTTCCTGATCCAACTTTCTTTTGCGCACAAGTTGTGTTGGCGCATCCCTGGTCTCGTTGTTCCTCCTGCATCGCTCCTTTCTGCGTTTTCATGTAGCGACGGAGTTTCTTCTGCTTTTCGTGATAACGGTTAAGCTGTACCCAGCATGCAGTTCGGTGGGGTAATTTTCTAAATGTCCATTTATTTATTAGTGTTACAAATTGTTTATGTGTCACAAACTGTTATTACCCTGGTGGTCCCGGGTTAGTCACGCCCAGGACCACTGCTTTAAGTGATCAAAACATTTCTGACCAACCAATTCCTCAGATGATTCAAAATCAAAACAAATCATTCATCCAATTAACTCATAATTATATCAGTTAGGGACTGATCATTTGTACTGACCATCAACTTGTATATTTGTTTTTGCATATAAATATTTCTTTGAATGAAATTGTTAGTCTTCAGAAAAAACACCTGTGTATACTTAATCTCAAACGTACCTTTAAAAAAAGAAGTGGTGATCTTACAGGTTGTTAACGATGAATTATTTTAAATCTTTCAGTGGGAAATAAATAGATCACTAACATTTTACAAACCAGCCCTTTTGAAAACAACCATCACATTATCACGCTTGTGATAACAAGCCTTATTTACAGGTTCACAGTGCCTAGGTAGCTGGCTGTCAACAGATAGAAGAGCTTTCCTTGAGATATAATAATCATAGGTTTAGCTTGGTTTTTTTTGTTTTTACTGGCTAGCATGTTCAAACGTTCTGAGATTTAACGTATGAGTATGTGTTATCTACGGACGTCCCTTGAAAGCACATAGAGGTAGACTACCCATGATAGTAGAATGAAAGTAGATTTTTACATAAATAGTTATTTCTTGTACGTTATTGTATTCTCTGTGTTGTGTATGCTCTTCTTTTTTTGGTTTTGTTCAACGCTTCAATGCACTGCGTTCTGTGTATACGTCCCAAGGAAATATACCTTCAGGGTACCAAACATAACAGATGTTTTTTGTGCTCTCTTAAATTACTGACAAATTTCCATATGATAAGTAACGTAATGTCTGTACTTCGATTTGAATTTCCCCAGGAAGCATGTTCCGTTAAACTCGAATCAGTCCTCCCTCCTCTGGGGAATGTGACGGGTCAGGGTGTTCCACGCTGCTCTGAAGAGGAAGATGCAAAATTCACATTTCAATTCTGTTATGAGCCACAGCAAAAAATATTCATTGCAACCCCCCCCCCCCCCCCCCCACATAGGCATAGTCTGTATGTATGGATGGATGGATGATGATGCTACTGCTCCTTTATTGTTATACTCAATGTTATTACCTAAATCTAAAGTTATCCAACTGCTCTGCCTACCTCTTCGCACTCCACATGCTACCAGTCTCCCCCTACTACCACCCTTCCGCCTTGCCCAGCGCCCTTGAGTGCCTCCATTAAAAATCAGTGACAGCTGTGACTATATTTAACTAATTCATGACCCCACCGCCAACCCCCCAGACCCCCCCCCTTCCGTAGGCAAACCCCCGGTACTTCTTCTCGTCTTGTTCTTTTTCCCCGCCCCTGTTTTTATTTGTCTGTGTCTCCTCCTCACCCTAGGGGTCGCACCCGAGGGAAAGCTGCTGTGGATGAGGAGGACAGCATGGATGGGACTGAGATAACAGAGTACCAGCAAGCCCTCAGGACACAGGTGAGACTTCCTGCTTTTTTGATCCAGTCCGTAGTCTGTTGCGTCTGGGAGCGCATCTCACGCACGTGGACTTGCACATCCAGGCAGCCCCACGTAGACGGGCCTTCAGAAGGGTATTTCAGTGAAGGTAGAAGAGGAGTCTCCCTCTCCAGGAGAAGGATGGATGAGAGCTCTTTCTTGGCACCCCATGCTTCTACTTCAGGGCTATAATTGAAAGGGTTTAGCTTGAGCTGTGAAGCTGCAGAGTGAGTGCGTATTTTTTTTTCCCCTCTCCCCTTACTGCTTCAATCTCTCCTCCTGCTCCGAGATTGGCATTGAGGTGCAGTGGGAAAGAGCCCTAGGCTAATGCCCTCTAAAAGCTTTTTAAAATCCCATCAGTCTCTGCAGACCCATTTATGTGCTTTTTTTTTTATGTGTGGACATCGCATCACGTGGCCATGCCTCCCATTCTCTTACATCTCAGTGCTGCTCTGTTACTGAGCTGAAGATATCGGGGAATTACATTTTGCTGGTGGTTAGCTTCACTTTCTTTTTCAATATCAGGAGTTCTGAGGTATCGATATATATATTTTTTTCTTTAAATCTCCTGTGTTATTTCTTCTGTTTAAGCCTTGCTTTGCGTCATTTTCACGATGTAAACTAAATGTTTTATGCAAACCACGCAAAATATATTATAGCTACATTACATGCTGATCAGAACAAGAAAGTTATTGTTATATGTTATGAAAAACAAAAGTCATAGACCTCACTCTCATCCCCAAACTGCTATTAATAGGCAATGAGCTTGATTTCTTCCTGGTGTCATTTTCATGGATGATGCTGAATCTTTTCAGTATTGCCTAATTACATCTCAATGAAATGTTAATACAATTCAGTATGGCCCAAAGTCTCAGTGAGAGCTACTTTGGGGAGTTGTTTTGTATGATTAGCACTGGGAATTGAGCCAATTTTTGTAGTTTAGATCAAAAGCACTTATGATAGTAACACAATTGAGCTTAGTTGTATTTCAGGCATAATATTCCCCATTAATATAAAACACATCAGTGTTTCTTGCCTTCTGCTTTTCCCTGCCTCCATTGTTATTGCTATTCTGTGCGAGAGCTGCGTTCCCAGTGGGTTTACTGTAATCAGTGTTTGAGCATATGGCCCCCATATATTTCCATCCATCTCACATCTAAAGGGCTGTGTTTCTGACCTGAAGGAAACTAACTAGAATGCAATCAACCTGCATTATGACAGCCTGTACCTGTCAAAGCCACAGGCTGAATGTACAGTTATAATTGGCATTGAGTAGACGAGCGGCTATTCGCATTCAGGTCAGCGCCGAATGGGCTGCAATTCCCAGAAACGCTCCGCAGGGATTAAATGCCGAGTCATTTCTTACAGAGTAATTGGTATTGTTTGTTTGTCCCTACCAGAAACACCGATCCAGCCAGTGGACCCTGCGGAAGTGGTGGCCACTGAGTTGCCAGAGGAGGACAGGCCCTCTTCCCCTCTGGCCCAGAGCCCTCCAGCCGAGAGTTCAGCAGGACCATCTGTCCCAGCCAGCAGAGAAGTCCAAAGCAGGTTAGAAGCACTCAACTTCCCCCTGAGCAGTGACTCTTCTACAAACATATATATGTACATATTGAATTGAATGACAAAATGCAACCAACCTTTTGACAGGTACTGTGTGTGTGTGTGTGTGTGTGTGTGTGTGTGTGTGTGTGTGTGTGTGTGTGTGTGTGTGTGTGTATGAATATATGTATATATATTGTTTTATAAATCGTTATATGAATGTGCGCGCGTACTATCATTATTGTGTGTGTGTGTGTGTGTGTGTGTGTGTGTTTGCAGCAATGTGACATGCTGTTTGCCTTGCTGTGTACACATGCATGGATGAATGGAAATGGAGTCATCAGCCGCTAGCGGCAACAGTCTCTTCCCAGGTGCCACTCCGTTAAAGGTTGTAATCAATCTTCTGGCCTGTCTGCGCTATCGATGTTAGTGATGGAGGACAGACCAGCCCCCTCCCTGGGGATCTTATTAACGAGGCCATCTCTTTGCCTAAAAATGTGATAAATATTTACAGCCCGTTTTAGTTCTCAACTTTCTGGGACTCTGCTGTTCTCTCTGTTGTTTCTCCACCACTCCGTCTCTATGACGCCCTTCTCCCATGCAATCTACAACACTGCAGTGTCCGGTCATTCTTGGAAGATGTTGTATGTATGTGTAGTGTGTATAGTGAGGAAATACAAGTACCTACTGTTATACCCAAAGTTAAAGGTTAAGGCGCATACGAGGAAAATCCTGACCCGGTACTTCTGTTCACACTTCACACAAAGCTGACCTCTCGTGCGACTTGATTGCCTACACAATGTATGACTTATTTGTAATTGTTCTATTCCTTAGTTGAATTATTTCAAATGTTTGTGAGGCTGGGTTGCAATAGCCCAATGACATGGAGATTCTACATCAACGTCCTGGTGTTGATGAATCACAAATGGAGGGGAAACATATTTTAGCCATCTGTCGTCTCCCAGATATCAACAATACCTACTATCTGTTCAGAGACCAGACAAAATGATGTGTGTTCACGTATGTGAATTCACCCCCGAGTTTACCTGCTGTATTGATGCCTGGATGACTTTATTTGGGGGTTGATAGAGCAGCTACGATGTTAGCATAGCTTAGCACAGAGTGATCCAAACTGCCTGCAGAAAACCTTTTAAAAGTCGTTTGCTTGTCGTCTGGCGGACCGATACTGAAACTGAATGCAGCTCGGCAGAAATCCAGCAGCGCCTCCGAATGATTTTTATGAACCCAGCGTCTGTAGGAGTCGCCCCCACACCTCGTCTCGGGCGCATCTACTGCGAGTGACGCAAATACACCCAAACAATCCAGCTGTTGTGCGAGTAACGCTGGGCAGAAAAATGGCTTAGGTGTGAATTCAGCATCCTATGCCATTGTGGACTCCGCGCGTGTGTGTGTGTGTGTGGTGTGTGTGTGTGTGTGTGTGGAGACTGTGTGCACGTCCTCACAAATTCAGGCTTAATGCGTTTATGGCGGTAAGTATATTGCTGCACAGCTCCTTTTGCCAGAAGAGGGAGACCTTAATTGGTGGTGACATGCGTGGCACTGTATTAAGTCACAGTAGGCATATATAATTAAACACCTCCCTACTACCCCTTTTCTTTGTTTCAGGGAACGTCTCTGTGCCTTCTGTTACTGCGGTGGCCGCAGCCTGCTGGGTCAGGGTGAGCTGCAAGTATTCAGCACCACGCCTCAGTTTGAAGCCCTCTTCAGCCACAAGGGCACAGGAGGCTCAGCGAGCGCTAGCAGCGATGGTGATAAAACCACTCAGCCAAAAACGGCCGGAGAGACCACCTCAGGACAGAGGGAAAAGACAAAGTAAGTAGGGCTGTCGGAGACTGTTGTCACGAATGGTTGTGTTGGTCGGGACAGCAAAGTGGGGCCTAAAAACCACCGGATACCCCTTTTCCTGCAAAGCAGTCATGGTGCCCACTGCGTTGTCCTGGTGAAAAGAAATCGTGGTTAATAAACGACCACACGTTCTTGTTTACCTACACGTTAACTCATGCACACAAACACAGACCACACGAGGCTAAAAGGCCCCCACTCAGCAGGTTGTGGGTCTACATTCGAAGGCTAATCGATCCATTTGCTGTAGCTGTCGGTGTCCCCAGGCCCAGGGATCCCACACCAGGGGACGGCTGCACACGAGCCTCTCCTGCGTGTTGTTGAGCACTACATATTTGCACGCCGCTCCCACAAAAGACCCTCCCTGGACTCCGTTGGACAGCTGCCTAATTTGTTTCAGTCCTTGGGAACCGTTTGGGGCGTCTCTCCGGGTTCCCAGTGACGTGACGGGCAGTACGGATCTGTGTGCGTCTGGCCGCGAGCCAAGCTGACCAGAAGCTGTTTTGTTGCTGCTGTGCGATCGGTCATCAGGGCCCGTCCTCGTTAATACCACGCGGAGGCACGGGAGGAGGTATTGTGTAGAGATTTGTCGGAGGAACCCCCGAGGTGCTGAACCAAAGGCAAAAGCGTGGAAATGTGAGGAGGTGGTAGAGGATCATTTCCTGAATGAAACTTTGGGCTGTAGACAATAAGCCTTCAGGTGTGTGCAATCATGCTCCTAGAAACTGTTCTCTTGATTTTGGCCGTTGGTTTGTTTACTGGAACTAAGGTCCTTTTTAAATGCTAATGCTCCCCCTCCACATTTTCCGCATGCTATGCAGCTCACTAGTTCAAGCCAGGGACTCGGGGAAACGCATCCTTTTCAACAGATTTTATTAGACGGAACAGCCAGCCTCTTGTGCACATGCCAAACAAGATGGCCCTCTTCCTCCTCCTCCTCCTCCTCTCCCTCCTCCCCCATAGCTTTTTATTTGCTCTCTAACATTTCCCCCCAGCACATTCTCGCTGTCTTCATCTCTGCTTTTGTAAAAACTGAACATTGTCCTTTACCTTAATGTTTTCTACCCAGGATTCCTTCCTAAATTGACTCAGGCGCTCTACTTTTAAAAACGACCCCCTACTCCCCCCCCCCCCCCCCCGCCCCCCCCTGAAAAAAACTCTCTGCTGACCTGCTTTCTCTGCAAACCTCTCCCTTTGTTCCAGTGGGTCTGAACGCTGCGAGGAAGAACTAGACCCAGCCAGTCGATCTTGGGACGAACTTTCCCATGTCGGCCTCCCGCAAGATCTTAACGTCCAGTCTCTCTTCGAGTCAGGTAAAAACCAATCCTCGTTTTCCAAATAATTTATGAGCATATTATCGGTTGACGCTAACTATGTTTATGCCGAAATCAGCGCCAGATACCGTCCTTTTGTTTCATTACTTACTTACTCATTGCAGGGCAATGCTGGGCACATCAGAGCTGTGCCTTGTGGTCCGAAGGTGTTTGTGAGGGCGAGGGACAATCTCTGCTTAATGTGGACAGAGCCATTGACTCAGGGAGCACAAAGGTGAGTGAAGAGGGGAGCGGGGGGAGGGGAGGGGGCACCCGTGGACTAATGGGTGTTAACAGCATCTTAATGTGTTGGGGCAGCAGTTAGACTCCTTCATTGAGGCACAGCAAAGCTGATGGATCAGACTGGCTGGTAAAGGTCGGCCCGGCAGCGTGGATCTCTCAGCTGTGAAATGGAAAAGGTCACGCCACTCAACGGGGCTGAGCCCTCTCGGCAGCTTAGCTCCTAGTGTTAGCAGTGGCACAGCTCACAGCTCTCCGATTGCGTTTGCAGCCCAACGGTGGCGCAGCCCATCAGCAAGTCCCGCATTTGATTGCACAGAGTGCACACTTCTAGAATCGAGGCGGACTAGCGAGGGGATGCGGTTCTGTCGTGAATGTGATCAGCTGGGAAAAGCAGATGACTGTTTTTCAAAAGACACATTAAGGGATAAAGCACTGTTTTAACATAAGCCAAGCAGTCAGTCATAGGAAAAAGTCATCGACATGTTTTAGAGGTTACTGTTTCCTTGGCCGCGAATGGAATTAATTAATTTTACATTTGTATTTCGGGAACCGTCTCGTTCTCTGCAGCACTGTGCATACTGTAAGCGCCTTGGAGCATCCGTTAAGTGCTGTGCTGAAGGATGTGCTCAACTCTACCATTTCCCCTGTGCGGGGGCAGCCGGGACCTTTCAGGATATCAGGAGTCTCTCGCTCCTATGCCCAGAACACGTTGAACTGGCCCTTCACAAATGTAAGTTCACTAGTATTGATAGCGATTTGTTTGATGAGACATTTGCAAAATAGACATACGGTAACGATATCTGAATTGCCCCCCATCCTCTCAACCAAATCCTGTTTCTTTCATTTACAGTTGTCGATGATGTAAATTGCGCGCTATGTGATAGCCCAGGGGAGCTACTGGACCAGCTCTTCTGCACCAGTTGTGGTCAGCATTACCATGGGATGTGCCTGGACATGGCCGTGACCCCTCTGAGGAAGGCAGGCTGGCAGTGCCCCGAGTGCAAAATCTGCCAGACGTGCAAGTGAGTAACCTTCCCACTCGCCGAAATAAAGCATCCAACAGGGAATGATTGGTCCCATCTCTTTTTTTTTTTCTTTCCTTAATATTCTCCACAGCTACCAGGCATGTTGCTTAGTGCTGGTGTGTTTACCTCTGTGGTTTGTGTGGAGATAACTGGATGTTGTACCCTGAAGCACAGTCTTGTAACTTCTGACCTTACTCAACGGCACAGTGGCTCTGCTCGCCAGCGGCCCTGTTTGCCTTCGGTGAACACTGTCCATTGAGCTCTTTGCTCCGTGTTTGCATAGAAACCTTAGTAACCTTAGTTTCTCCAGAGGAGGCTGTCGTCAGTAACTCATAGATTGGATGGCTCAATTTGTAGGATTTCTTTGAATGCTTTTGATTTCTTTCATCATTGTCTGTGCATTGCTTTCATTGATAACTACCCCACTGCTCTCCTGTGTTTATAAAAGTAAAAATAATTGTAATGCTCCCACTGTTGGTAAAGAGAAAGTCATGTTGTGATTTTTTTCTAAAACTATTCTTCAGTCATGAGAGTCGGCAGTCATGGATTCTTGAGCGTGTAGCAATAAATCAGCTGCCCAAATATTAAACGATTTTGTTCAGCAGGATTTGAGATTAGCCGAGACAGAGCGAGTAACTCACTCACTCAAGATTGATCTCATTATCTCCCATTTAGAAAAAATAAAAAGGGAATCAAGGTCACTATGATCATACTTGTTACTCCTTCACACTGAAACAGAGAATCCTTCCTAGATAGTCAGTGTGCATTATATCAGAGTTCTCTCAATATGTTATATCTACCTACATATTGTCTGATTACGCACATTGAGGCATTTGGTCAAACATATTGAGATGTTGGATTTTCTTTCTGGCCCAGTACCAATCAAATTTCATAAAGCCGTCTTTCTTCTGTCTTGCTTTGTAGGAACCCAGGAGAGGACACTAAAATGCTGGTGTGTGACATGTGTGATAAAGGCTACCACACCTTCTGTCTGCAACCGGCCATAGACTCTCTTCCCACCAACGGATGGCGATGTAAGGTAGGAAAAACTTCATATACGGCCTTAGAGAGACAGAACCACACTCATTCGATGCCAAGGTTTTACATCTTGTTTCCCTCAAAACTGGTTTGTCTATATCGGTCTGATTAGAAAATTGCTTTGGAAATTCATTTCACCAGGGCCTAAAAATACTCATTGTATTTTTGAAGACTTATTCCCCAGCTCTACCTCATAAATCTGTCTGGAAAAGGGTCTAAATTACACTCACATTTACTCCCATGACTAAAGGGCCAAAACTATCTAACATCGTATTCTTACCGTATCGACTGTGAATGCCTTTCAGTGTCTACTAAGAAGGCCTCATTTTGCTCCACAGAGCTGCAGAGTATGCATCCAATGTGGGACACGGACCAGCGGGCAATGGCACCACACCAGCCTGCTGTGTGAGAACTGCGTCCAAAACCAGGACCCCGCTCTGTGCTGTTCTATGTGTGCCTGCATCCTGGACCCTGAGCATCATAAAGACTTACTCTTCTGCCAGACTTGTAAGAGGTAAGGAACATCGCCGTTGGTAACTACTTCAAATGCGGCACTCTTGTGTTTGGTTACCTTGCTTCGTCCCCGCTGCAATTTTGTGTTCCCTGGTAACGCTAAGGAAACACTGGGGGAAAACCACAGCAATGAAAATGTTACGTTTGAGTTCTGCACAGCGATCCCCCACCGAAACAATCCCTTAAAATTCCTTCGCACTCCTTTCAGATGGCTACACCTGGAGTGCGAGCGTCAGAACTCAGGCCAAGCAGAGATCCACCCCGGAGAGGACTATGTTTGTTCCAACTGCAGGCCTCCTGCTGCAGAGCAGGCGCTACAGGCAGAGGATATGGACACCGGCCCGGAGCTCAGCCCTCAGCCAGCCCCAATGCACATAGACTCTGAGACTGGTCTGCAGCCCGCTCCAAAGCACACGGACATAGAACCTGGCACTCAGGGGTCTCCTGAAATGCACAATGACCCCAAACCGGAATTACTCGCTGTTCCATTGCACTCGGATCCAGAGCCTGTTCAGGCTACCGTCCAGGAGGAGAATCTGGCCACGTCAGCCCAAAAGCCTGGTGGGTCTTTGTTCCAAAAAGGTTAGATTACACACAGGAAGATAACTAGTCTGATCTCTTTCCTTGTGTTATCTTTCAGTCCTGAAGTCTTCATTGTCTTCAATGCCCAGGTGTCCCTCCTGAGTATCTAATCAGCATATTAATAATGTGTCGTTATTGGAAGGATGAGCCAAGGAATGTAGCCCTTTGATTATACGTAACCGTGCACACGAGCACCAGGTTATACGACTCGAAAATGAAGGAGAATCGTTGTAGTTGAGGGTTGATTCAGCCACGTAGCAGCAGCAGCAGTTGAAAGTTTTGGCCGTGCAACACAAAAATGAGGTTCTGAACGTCGCAGTTGTTGGAGATGAAAGGATTATGAGTTGATTGGACTTGGACCAGAGAGAAGCGCTCCCTCTCTTCATGTGCACGGTTTTCTGAGGACTTCCCAATAACCAGATGGTGTCCCACTACCGGCACATTAAAGCCACTCCTTTGTCTTTGTAACTTTGTGTTTTGAAAATCCGAAGTAGTTAGTTTCTCCCTCCTGTCTCCCGGCGCGGTGACGTGTGCTGCCAGCTGATGTAAATCAACAACTATGAAACTGAAAGGGATTTTTTAATTTCAATTCAATGGCTAAGTGAAACTGTGCAGTGCAACACGAAACCGAGGTTAGCACTTCATTCACCACGAGTCAACTTTACCTTTCACTTTAATAATACCACTTAACAGACGGAGAGATTGTGAACGTACTGCGGCCATGTGTGAGGTTTGTCACATCGCCGTGTGTGTGTGTGTGTGTGTGTGTGTGTGTGTGTGTGTGTGTGTGTGTGTGTGTGTGTGTGTGTGTGTGTGTGTGTGTGTGTGTGTGTGTGTGTGTGTGTGTGTGTGTGTGTGTGTGTGTGCGCGTGTGTGAGAGAGACACAAAATCAAAGCACTGTGTCAGTCGTATAGGGGCTTCAATGGGACTGTACATTATGGCCATTGAATTCAGTTTATTTTTTAAAACCTTGGGCAGAACGTAAGAACATTGTTATTTACTCGTAACCTCTTTCGTACCCTTAAAAGGTATAACCATGGCTGTGTAAAGACAACTGGAGGCAGTGTTGGTCGCAGCTCTCATTGATTGCTCTGAAAGTGGCTCATTGGCCTATGGAGCATGAAGTTTGACTTCCTGGTATGAAATTATCCAGATCCTCCTGCGAATTCCCGCTTTAGCCTCCTTCTCGGGGGGAGGAAAACAAATAAATGCTGAAAAATCAGTATATTTCACAACTTTCATGATGCAATGGTTGAAACGTGTCCACTGACGCGTATTCAGCTAAACGCCAATTAGTAAAAGAAGCACCGTTGAAAACCAGCTCTGCTTGGCTGTTGTGGCGCTCAGGACTCGCGTCTCCGCCCGGCGTGAGATCTGCCAGCAGTGGAGAATCAGGCAAACTTGACGGCTGAGCCAGGGATGCCAGTAGCAGCTACGCTGCCCACTCTGTCTAGACGGCAGACTCTGCTGGCGGGAGAGAATGGATGGGAGTAGCATGATGGAGATGTTATTAGATCCCCTGTCGACAAACCTGCCTGCGAGCGATGCTGCCTCATTCATGACCGCTCGCACAGCTCTGCTCTGCTCTGCATACATATGTGCGCTCTCCCTTTCTTACTATGTTTTTCCTTTGGTCACGAGCTGCTTCATCATTGGATTTATCTGGCAAGCCCATGCTTTCCCATCTGTGGTTTGAAAGACATGTTTAGTGATCCTTTTTTTTTAATTCGCAAAAAGCTTTAGGAGGTTTATGTTAAGCACCTCAAAATAAGTGTTTTTTTTCTCCAATGCACCTGTCATAAGGTTGTCTACTCCTGGGAGATATGGCATTAGACATTTTAGGCTGAAGCCTGTTACGCAAACGGGTGTAATTTGACTTTATTTTCTGCATTTTATTGGATAATCCTGCTACAATAATAGGAGGAAATTCATTCATTCAATAATGTATTGGATCTGCGTGGATCTTTTCCCATTTGTTCAACGTATTTTTGTTGCGTGAGACCGTGACAACGCTGCCCACACCGTGCACATTTAATGTAATTAAAGTCATTAAGCAGAGCTGTTTATCACCTGCCAGGATTCTCCACGACTCGGTGTTTAACAGCGGGCTTACCGTGACTCAACTGACAGATGCCATTAGATCCATTCGGTGACCGCAAACAAGACCCGACTTGGGGCCTCGGCTGCATTAATCCAAGCCTTGTATTTATCCAAGCCATCACCATATTCCCCGCAGGAGCTGTAGGAAGCAGGGCGTTACTATGAATGAGAATGTGTGTTCGGCCTGGTCAATAGTTGAAGGCTGGTGATGGTTGGAGGCCCATCTCCTAATTGACTTTCTGGCGTCGGCACCGGATGAGCACCTGCAAGCTGCACAGTCATGAGCCCAGAGCACACAGACCCTGGGATGTTGGTTGTCATGGTTACTCCCATCCCTGGCAGAGATGCCTAGCAGGTGCACGCGTGTGTCAGGATCAGTGAGACATGGGAACTTGTGGATTGAAATGGTGGGTGCCTTGTTAAGACTGGGCTATCTGTACGGTCAGAGGCTGTCTGGCAGAATATTGGCTCGGTGTGTAGATGCCTGATAGCCAGGAATGACTAGTTCTATTCATGCCCGACTAGCCAAATGTATTGATGTCTTTAATACAAAACCAAATGGAGGGAGAGGATGGGAGAGGCTATAAAACCAAATAGAGAGGGGGGGCAGGAGACACTAGATTAATATGAAGTAGCACTTACAGGCTATGCGTTGTGGCTGTCTGTTGTTTTGTGTCAGAAGCACATATGATGCATCCTTTTCGAGGCTGATGCAATGCCAAATCCAGGCAGGGAACATAATGTTTAACCCTATAATTAATCGCTTTTCTTTTTTTTTTTTTATGTACTTCTGCTTACAGAATTCTCTTTTCTTCATATTGGTAAAAAAGAACACGGTGATCTGCAACACACGCTTGTACTGCTTCTGCGGTTTTGCTAAATGGAGAAAAGTTTCCTCGTCTCACGGATTCACATCTTTGTGTATTCTTGTTGGTTTGGATAACCTAAGAAATATCTCTCTCTCTCTCCAAGCCCAACATCTCCCTACGCTCCACTGTCTCTGTGTGTGTGTTCACAGTGTCTCCAGACTCTTCGTTCTCATTACTATGCAACAAATATCCATTTCTTTGACTATAATCCTTTTTTATTATGAACCGTGTCTCCTTTAGAAGTGTCAGTGGGAGCGGACGTTGAGAAGCAGGTCACCCAAGCTCCTCTCCACCAAATCAGACCAGGTTTGTAAACACAATCTAGTCCGCTTAGTGGAACCTCCTATTCATTGTCACCAATGTATGTTGTTGTTGTTGTTGTTGGCACAATGTCAGCATAACAAATACACCCTCATTTACCTCATTTACATATGAAAATATGTCCTCCTCACCACTGTGCGTTTCCTCCCACAGAAACGGAACCAGCGTTACGAGTCCAGCTTACAACTACCGAGAGTCCTGCGTCTCCAGCGACTCCCAGCCACGAGTCTGAGTCTTTTCCTGCCCAGCTCTCCGTAGAAGCACTACAGACACAGGATGCCGCGTTACAAATCAAACCAGCAAAGACCGAGGCCCGCCCCGAGCAGGGCGCGGCCGACCCCAGCACAAAGGATTTTAAGGCCATCATCTCAACCACCAAAGAACCAAGTACTGCATCAGTACCTTTCACGGACCAACCAATGGAAGTCTCGCATCCCGAGCCTTCGAGCATGGACGGGGTCAGGGCTTCACTCCTGGAGACTGCTCCAGAAGAACTCAACAAGGAGAGGACGCAGGGTGTTTTTCACAGGAACCCGGCGGAGACTGTTACGCCCTCGGCCTCCGGTCCATCAGTGGAGATGTACGTTACAACGGAGAGCAAGTCCAACGTGTCGTTTCCCTGCCTGCCCGCCGAGGAGAAACCACTCAAGACATCCGCGGAAAGGTTGGCGGAAATGGTTTCCTCTCCGTGCCACTCGTCCCCTCTGGGCCGAGGGACGTCTCCCAGAGAGCTGAGCCAGAGCCTCCCGTTGCTGGGTGACCACAGCGGTGTAATACCCACCACCACCCTCATACCACTCACCCCTAAGATTGGAATGGGAAAGCCAGCCATCACCAAGAGGAAGTTCTCTCCCGGGAGGCCTCGGGTGAAGCAGGTAGGGTCCCGGATATCATGTCACGGGGGGACCGCTGATTGGTTACGAGCCGAAGCAAATACCCCCGAAGCGCCGGCCTGTAATTGGTGCACGTACCCTGGGTACTAAGCGGTCTGTGTGTCAGGGTCCGGAGTTCTGTGATCCATGTAGGTGGATTAGATTGAGGGGTTTTTTGGTGGCACTGGGTTGGTCGAAGAGGCTCGTGCGTTATGTTTTTATTGCTTTTTCTCAGTCGAGTTGTTTCTTTAAAATCCACTTTAGAAGCACAACAGGCGGACAGCGCGGCCAGCGATGCTTCCTCCCAGCTCCCGATGCCCTCCATGCATGTTCAGGCACACCGCAACTAGTTAGCCGTTCATATTATTTCTGTTGGGAGTTATGTTTTTTTTTTTTCTATGGCTACACCTTTTCCTCAGAGTCCTAACCATTTTCCACCTCAGCAGCCTCTTCATCAGTCACTCTGATCATCTTGTGTCCACATACGTTGCTTTATTGTCCTGCACAGAATGATGAGGATTCATCAAGTCACATATTTCAGAGGTCACTATCATTACCACAAGTAATCTCCCATTATACGTTCTATTGCAGTGGGTCACTAGTGACAAAAAAAACTTGAATCCCCTATTGTAAGTGTCCCAGTGTCGTTAAAACAAATTATTATTATCATAGAGACCCTGAATGTGGACACGCTCAGACAAATAATTAGAGGCGTAAAATCACACCCATGGCTATAATATATTATGAATGATGCTGGGGATGGTGGATTCATTTAGTTTGCAAAATGTGTGTTCCCCTGAAAATCTCTCATCTCTTAAACAAACTGCATATGGCTCTAGACTAATTTATTACACAAGGCCTGAGGAAATCTATTAGCGATGCTTCGATCCGAGTATTTCCTCCTCTATAGTCCGGGGTGCTTTTGTCCGCTGCTCTCGGTGGCTGCCGTGCGGACGCAATTCCCCTTTGTCAGCGTTGCCAAACATACATGGTTGTCATGACGAGAGGTTGCAGGGCCTCTTTCTTGCTGTATGGCACCATGTTGCCCGTGCAAATGATCCTGCGTGAAATGCAACTAACACAAGTGTGCTCTTCAGTTTTGCCTCTATGAAGAGTCTATTAGAAACAATGCTTCTTAACCTCCTCTGCATGAGAACTGCAGGATTGGCTTTAACGCAGACCGTACGCTAATAACTTATTCCGTTCATATTTGGCACGGCAGATGCTCTCTAATGCTGTAGCTCTGCATCGATGGATGTGTATCCAGGACCAATTGGCTCCATACGAAAGCTCACTACATCTCTCTAACATCCTTCTTTGTATGTTTTTGATTCTTCGCTGGCTTTGTTTTTAAGTTGCTGCATTTTGTCGCCCTCCCTTCTTCCCTTTCTCTCACTCTCTCACCCGCCCCCCTCCCCTCCCTTTACCTTAGGGTGCATGGAGCCCCCATAGCAGTGTGAGCTCCCCCTTGTCCTGGTCGCCAGACCAGCAAGAGGGGTGGGACGTCTCAAAGACCAGGCAGTCCTCTGGCAGCCCCGGCTGGAGCATCAGAGTGGTAAATACTGTGGCTCACCAGAGAAGTCAGGGCAGCAGCTGCCCCCCTGTTAGCCCTTTGTTTGCCCTGGTGACATACTCTCTGAGTGGCCCATAGCGTCTCTGCGATGTGGACCGCAGCCCGCTTTAACAATTCCCCCACCTGACAGTGAAGCTAAGCTAATGACTATGGCTGTGATATTGGCTGGCTTTGCTGTTGTATTGAGAGTTATTGGCTATGGTGTAATAAGACCTCCCTATCTAAATATTTGGCAAATACATTTTACTAATGCATAGCGTTGTTTCATTGCCTTTTTGGCAAATATTTCGTCAAATATTTCATTCTGATTCTCCTGATTTAGACCTTATCAAAAGGGTGCGGTATTGGGTTGCCATGGTGACTATCATTGCTTTTGGCAAGGCCTGGTGAGGGTTTGTGTGCAGTTGCGGGACTCCGGTACAGGTTAAATGCCATTTAAGTGTGTCTGTCAGGAGGCACAGTCCATGGAAGAGGCCTCCGTTTGGGATTGTGTCGCCGAGGGGGGGTTTGGTAGCAGGAGCTGGAAGATTTAGTTGGACTAAGTCGGAAAAGTGCCACATGCCTTTTTTCTCAACGCAAACGTGGTAATTTTGTTAGAAAAATGATAGTTATTTTCGAGTGCATGGCAGAGCCACCATAAATACTGGAATATAAATCCTGTATCAGGCAGCAGCTTGCATCCTCACCTAAAGAACTCACAGAATAACCTTCTCTTGCTAGAACTGGATGATCAAGGCTCTTCCTGTTAAGCGGTCCGTACATTCATTTACAAACCTAAAAGGGGTGAAATGTTCCTTTTTAAATTGTGTCTCTCCACTGAGCAAAGTGGACAAACGATCTTTCAGGAGAAGTGGAGCTTGCGTTTCAGTCTGTGCGATGGGGAGCGGCCATTTTCCCCGCGCGTCCCCACAAGCTGTCCACATCCACTCCTCGTGCTGCACATTTTCAGATTTCTTTCTTTCCTCCACAGGGTCGCGGCTCAGGCTTCCCCGGGAGGAGGAGGCCCAGAGGGGCCGGTCTGTCAGGTAGAGCTGGACGTGGCAGAGCCAGAGGCAAGAATGGAGTGAGTCCCGGCATGAACCCTGGGGTACGTGCTGTCAGCTGGTTGACATCTTGACATCTAGCACAATATGCGCAGGCCGTGTTCGGTGCCCCTCCTGCTGAAGACACGGACGACGTCTTGTCAGTGTTGTTAATGTAAACAAAACAGATCAAACCGTTTTGTTACAATTTTCAGTCATTTCAATAATGACAGTTGGGAATGATAGATAGTAATAGCTACTCTTCTTTCACATGTGTATCCTAAAATCAGTTATATAAACTATTCAGACTGGATCTTGGTTGAGAAAAATGCTGCCTCTGCCTATTTTGTCTTAATATACAGTGTTTTATTTTGTGTATTTCCTTCCGTGATCTGTAGGTCACCACGATAGAAACGCCATACCTGGTCAAGGACGAGGAGGAGAATGCCATGCACAACACAGTCGTCATATTCTCCAGCAACGACAATTTCACGCTAAAACAGGTCATTGTTCATTTAATACTTAAGAGTGTTGCTAATGTCAGAGTCGTCATCAGGGGATTTTTTCATTCACTTACATGGACTGAAATTAAATCTGTGCTTAAAGACCTCTCCCACTGGAGATCATTAATTCTTGTGGAGACACTGAGATGCCTGCAGGAAATACAGTTGATTATGTAACAGAGGATATTATTGAAATTTTACCGTTTCCTTCTTTCTGCGTGCAATGTTCCTGCAGTGTAGTGAATTTAGTTTGGTAAACAATAACAAGCCCGTAGCTACTGTTCAGTTCTCATCACGTTATTCGAAGCCGCAGTGAACATAACAATGGCAATGTAGGTTAGTAATTCAGAGGTTAGACTCCTGTATTGTTGGAGAAAAACTACTCCTATAAAGGCCCTAAGCAATTAAAATGTACAGCTGAGTTTGAGACGTGAACCCCCCATTGGCTCACATCTGACTATTCGGTACTTAAAAACACAGCTCTGGCTCTCAGGCTGTGAATGCCCGCTAAGAAGAGCCCAATCAAACCGCCCGGTTTAAAAAAATACAGAAAAATGCCGTTAATGGCCAGAGACGCCTCTCGTAGTCCTTTTGTGCGGAATTTCACTCGGCAGTTTTGCACAGCTAGATTTGAAGCTGCAGGACAGGTGCACTGTTCTTATTGACCTTGTAGGCTTTGGGTAAAAAAAGCCTTTTTCTTTCCACGAGTTTTTAGGATTGAATAGTTAGTTAGTAAAGAACAGGTAATGACTGGTACTTACAGTGTTGGTAATAAACACGGAGAACAGATTCATACTTAATTACTATGATTGGGAGGTGACTATAAAACCGAAGTAAATGCAGTTTGCAGAATTATTCTCTGTTCTCTGGTATTAATACAAATCAAAAATGGACCTTGTTCCAACTAAAGCTCTAAAATGTCAGCGTCGCAATTAATCTGCCTTAGCGAAATGTGTTGACTCTTGATGTTTTATTTCGCTTTAGGACATGTGTGTCGTCTGTGGAAGTTTTGGGCTTGGTGCAGAGGGCCGTCTTTTGGCCTGCGCTCAATGTGGGCAGTGTTACCATCCATTCTGTGTCGGCATAAAGGTACGTTTACTATTGAGCTGTATACATACTTGAAATACACACAAGCCAACATGTAAATGTCTCATCGGTACTTTCGCAGATCACCAAGGTGGTGCTGAGTAAAGGTTGGCGTTGTCTCGAGTGTACAGTGTGCGAGGCCTGTGGTCAGGCCACAGATCCTGGCCGCTTGCTACTGTGTGATGACTGTGACATCAGCTATCACACCTACTGCCTGGACCCTCCATTGCAAAACGTTCCCAAGGACAGCTGGAAGTGCAAGTGGTGAGTGATGATCATCCCGGCCAAATCAGCTCAGAGCCAACAGTCAATCATTTAAATTGAAATGAATTTGTGTTCAGTGTTACTAAAAGAGCTGTGATAATTCTGCTGCTTGTTTTTTACGGGAAGCGGTTCAGGCGATTTACCACATTCCACCTCCTCCAGATTGATGCATATTTCTCTTTGTAACGACTTCTCACTACTCCGTTTGAAAATCTGCCAAACACATTTTTAAAATATACAAAGGGATTTGAAGTAAATAACTTGACCATTTTATAGACAGGCGACTGGAAAATTTCTTTTTTTAAATTCCAAATGAGCAAGAAACATTCACAACTCCTACTTTTCATCACGTGGCCATTGTCAGTCTGTGTGACCCTTTTGGAAGTAGCATGGCTACAATGACCCCCGTCCTCCGTCTCTCCTGCAGGTGTGTGTCCTGTACCCAGTGTGGTGCCACTACCCCAGGCCTAAGGTGTGAGTGGCAGAATAATTACACCCAATGTGCCCCCTGTGCCAGCCTTGCAACATGCCCCATCTGCCTGCTGGACTACAGCGAAGGCACCGTGATTGTGCAGTGCCGCCAATGTGACAGGTGTGTTTCTACAAAACCTAAAGTCTAAATCCACAACAAAAAATGTTTTTGCTGATTGCTACGGAGCTCAACCTTCTCCGCTATCAACAGATGGTTCCATGCGTCTTGTCAGGCCCTCCATTCAGACGAAGACGTAGAAAAAGCAGCAGACAATAACTTTGACTGCACAATGTGTCGAGCTTTCAAAAGCACTAAAGGTGAGAACAGTGTTTTGTCTCTGCGTGTGAGTCTGCTGTGCAGTGAATAGACTCCGCTATCAACGTTTTAGTCCCTCGTCTCTGCTGCTGTTTGTTTTTAACCTCTTTTCCGTGTCCTTTGCTGCTACAGTTGTGACCAAGGCCAGAGACGTCATTGAACCTGTAGTCATGACGCAGATTGTCACAAAGGCTAAAGAAATGGGTACGTTCAGGGCTTAAAAATGATCAAATTAGGAATAGCATGCAAGGCAATGTTTCCCTCTTCGAGATGGTGATTCGGTCTCTGCAGTCTATGCTGGTTCTGACCACAATTGTGTTTTGGTGTTCACAGATCTGTCGAGGACCTACACACAGGATGGCGTTTGTTTGACAGAGTCGGGGCTTTGTCAGCTCCAGAGTTTGTCCGCTACGGCGTCGCGGCGCAGGAAACCCAAGCCGAAGCTGAAGCTGAAGATCATTAACCAGAACAGTGTGGCAGTTCTCCAGGCTCCTGTAGACCCGCTCTCGGAGCACTCTCGTGATGAAGACATAGAGGACAACAGAGGTACTTTTTTGCACAAGCTTCTACTTTCATCTCAGGGTGCTCGTTAGCGGCCTTCGGCACAGTGACTTGGACTATCAGGCTTCTTGTATTTTGTGTATTTCTCTCCTTCTCCTTTCAATATTTTTCGCTATTACACAGCTGCAGAGCTCACACCTACAATGACTGAGGCCGAACCAATTGACCTTTCACTAAGCACGTCCCCCGTTGTGACTGTCAAGCTGTTAGAACTGCCAGGGCACCCACACCGTCACCAACTGCACTCTCTGTAGAAGTTTTAACTAATTTATTGGGAAAAAGAAGCGTGTGCAATATGCGCTCAAAGCATATATCCAGCATGTAAAACTGACCAATAGGTAAAGATAATAGCAAAGGCTTACAGAACCACAACATCACCTGGCGTTGAAGACGATTAGATTGAATAAAAACACTGTGAATGAGTTCTGCTTCAAATGATTACTTCATTACTAATCAATTAAAAAGTACCCTGATCAGCCTCAGCATGATCCAGATGATCGGCCCAGGTTATCTCTTTTTTTTTTTTAATTCCTCAGTAACAGAAGTCATGAACTTGGTATGAATCAGGGCGATGTCCGGCCGTCGACTGCGGTTGGGATGGAATTGTCTCTGGTGGCTGTGTTCGGGTGCCTGGCCGGGTTGGTCGCCGCCGCAGGGCTGTCACTCATCATCAACACTCTCTCCCTCTTGCAGAGGCGGAGCTCCTCGATTGCGAAGCAAAGTCTGACTCCAGCCTCGAGCGAGAGCCAGCAGAAGAAGACTCCAAGGGGCCCGACGGCGGCAAGAAGAGGAAGAGGAAACCGTACAGGCCGGGTAGGGCACCTGATTGAAGGAGACAGCTCCTCTGAAGCGTAAAATGCTGCAGTGCATGCCCGACGTTGTAGCTGTAGCAAAGCGCTGCCATCTCAGGGCCTCTGATGCACACAGGGCCTGCTCCACTATTTCTGAGCCTTCGTGCGCTAACACACTGGCCAATTAAAAGAACCATACAATCTGACTCAACATTGATCAAATCCATTCACCTCCACGACTGCAGTTAAGATGCGTTTATTGATAAGTTGCTAATAAATTAATAACCTTTCCTTTTAAGGCATTGGCGGGTTTATGGTCCGCCAGAGGAGCCGTCCGGGTCAGGGTCCAGGCAAAGCCAAACGAGCCCTCTGCAGGAAGGATTCCACTGGCTCCATGTCAGAGAATCCCTTTGGGAAAGATGAGGGTCCGTATTCCTGTAATAATTATATGCTTCTGTATGTCAGTAGTTTATTCCTTTCCATTAATGTTTTTATGTGACGTTTGTTCTTCTCTTTGATGTAGGATGGACGGAGACTCTGCCAAATACTCCTGTGGATGAGACGCCCCCCGGACCAGAGGTGCCAGAAAAGATAAAGAAACGCTACCGCAAGAAGAAAACAAAACTGGAGGAAGCTTTTCCCACCTATCTGCAGGTACGTCACCTTTATAGCACACTGTTTCTGTTTGAATGTAAACTAAGACTGTGGAGAAAAATAAAATATTTTTTATATCTGTATAAACCCCTAAACATTCATTCTGCCTGTGTATAATATCTTTACAATAATTATCATTAGTAATCAACTTTGTTTTTGCCGACACAGCTTCCAAATGCTAAAAGGCCCCTTTGTGTTGCATCAGTTGATTACTATTTTGGGTTTTATTGTGATACAAGCCACCCTGTTCACATGCACAGATTGTCTGGTCATGTCATGCCATATCTTCATAAAACCCCTTTTATCTCACCCTTGGGAAGGCTGGCAATCCAAAGTACATGGCCTGGAAACCACTTACCGAACTGTGGCGCACGTTGCCTAAAGGAACTCCTCTCTGATCGTGCTCTTTAAATGGCTCCGGTCTGGGTTGCAAATTGACAGACAAAAGCTTAACAGGAGATGACTTCAAGGCTCCTCGTCTCCAGCCAGCATCCCAGTGTCACCTTTTGTTGGCCAAAACACAGATATATGTGATGTGCATTAAGACACCCGCAGCTGTCAGTGCTGCTCTTTATCCCACCGCAGTCTCAGAATGTTCAGTCCAACCTAAAGGTCCAACACACTTAAGAACTCCATCAATTATTGAAACAGCCACACGGTGGGCTTTTAATGTCTCGGTACAGCAGGGAGCCACAGTTGCATGTCTTTGAGGATAGTAGATGACTCGTGGGTATAAGTGGTTTTGGGCTGGTAGGTGCTGACAAAAGTGAGGTCAGCAGCAACGTGAATTCGAGTCATAGCGTCTCTGTTTCACTTCGGTCAGTTCTCATGAGCCTTGGATGTGTGCTGAATAATTTCTATGTGACATGGGATGCGTTTCCCAAGAGTGATGTCAAGAAAGGGAAACTGACAAGTCGTCAATGAAAATCTGTCAACATAATCTGTCAATCACATTGCATTACAGGTAATTTATCTGACGCTTTTATCCTAAGCAACTTACATTGCATTGCAACCCACGGCTTTTTTTACATGTTTTTGCCCTGGGAGCAATTAGGGGTCAGGTGTCTTGCTCAGGGACACTTCGACACGGGACATGGAGCAGCCAGGGCTCGAACTGCCAACCTTGCGGTTCCCGGTGCACCCTCTCTTCTCCATGCGCCACCGCCAACCAGTATTGACCAGTGCTTTATGTTGTCGTGTTCAGGAAGCGTTCTTTGGGAAAGACCTACTGGACAAAAGCAAGCAGAGGAGGCAGCAGGGGCCTGAATCAGGCTTAATGGACGACGGGCAAAGCCAGGGGAAGAGGAAGCACCCCACCACCAGCTTCCTGGATCCTTCTTCGGACCCTCTGCTCAGCGCTTCGGCCACCTCCCTCCCCGCCAGACCAGCAGCAGCACGTACGTGGACACATTTAGTTCCCCGGTGCACGGGATGCAATTATTCATGGAAGGAAAGCGTTGGGCTGAACACGACGTTCGACCAAATAACACAAGACCTAAAAATGGAGTCAATGACAGTGTTGAAAAAGCCTGTGTCAGGCTTTTTCAGGGGTACCATTTTATTTTGGGCATTTTTCATCAAGATTTTATTCCTTTTTATTCCATTCGGTTCTCCCCCCCTGTTCATGAAAGTGTCAATACCCAACGAGAGTTCTAACCCTTTTTCACACGGGAGCAAATGGGTGTCACAGAGGTCCCTGAGCATGTGTCCACCCCACATGTCACCCATTCATACAAACGTGTCAGCGGTTAATCGGTGCTCACAGGCTGATTTGGGAGTGGAGCACCGCCACCTCCGTCAAAGTTTTAAGTGTAAAACTAAAAAAAAAACTACCCACCTGAATGCATGACAGCTTAAAACCTTTTATTAGCAAAGATGAGTGGTATTACTCTGTGCTAGTGCTAATTACTACGTTCAGAAAATAGTGCACTGCAACCCGAAAGAGTCAATAACCATCACTTTGAAGAAATAGAACACTGACAATTAAACAATAAGAAGAAAATTAGAGTTGTAAGGGGAGATACTGTAGTATAGAATTAACGTCTCCATTTTTGATTTCCCAGTAACTTCATGAAATGAATATATAAATGCAAGATTGGAAGTTTTACTGTGTGTGTAGATGACGGGCAGGTTGGGACCTTGTATGTTATCAATGGTAGTAGTAAAGAATGATTTCAGTGGTCAGAAGGCTAGAACGGTGCAAAATAAATAGAAGTGTACCGTCTTTGGCAGATATTGTCTGACAGTCACTTTAATCCCTTGATGGACGTTGATGGAGTATAATTCACGTAAATACCAGACTACATGTGACATCAAAACCAATGGTTCCAAATCACCTTCTCGTGTTTGTTCAACATCGCCATCAATTATGATTTGTGACGCTTTGGCTTTCTTTCCTTTTTTTTGTTTCTTCCTCCTCCCCCATCCACAGAGACGGCTGAGGAACCATTAGTTGATCTATCTGATGTTCTGAACACTGATGCAGACATCTTGGGAATGCTCGGAAAGCCAAGCAGTGACTCTGGTGCGTCATATATTTCACAGGAAGTCACAGTGGAAACATTTATTAGTAGTCACCTAGCCGCGGGTTTACGAAGTGTTTTGACTCCAGTTCAGAAACTTTATTTTGCTTTCGCCACATAATTTTTATTTCAATTTTATTTCAATGTCACATTCCTTAAAACTACCCTTTTGTTCATCTTTGTTATTTATCCTTTTTTTGCATTGTCTCAAGCTTGTTGTGCTTGTTCTGTCTTCACTATTTTTTTTTCACTCATTTGATCTGGTTTTGGGTCCTTGTAGGTCTTGATTTTTGCCCCTTCCAGGTTGACAGCTCACCTCCTCCTTTTGGTAAGGGTGCTCTGGCCTACTAATCCCTTGCTTTAGTGCATTCTTCCTCTCTAACAGTGTTTGTCTCTATTTGAGTGTGCATGCATATAAGCTGCTTCGCACTTAGCTTCTTTCTCAACCATTTCAGATTGTTTTAACACTCATAAACTGCTTAGTGCTTACCTAACCCAGTGCAGTGTTCACTCAAATGCGTACGGTGTGTCAGTAGTGGTTGTTCGTGAGCCTCCTGAGCCCTTTGACAGTGGGGACATTTTTTCAAATGGGTACAAATTCGTAGCTGCTCGATCAAACCGACAAGGACATTTTGACATTCAAGAGATTGCCAGTTTAGAAACCCGAAATTTTGAGGTGGCCTTTGGAGAATGTCCTTCCAGTTCCTAAAGGCAGTGAAGGTCTTCTGTTCTCATTCCTGCGGCTGGATGACAAAAACTTTGCAGTACATGTCCACCAAAAAAAGGAATTCAGTCATTTTTCTGTACGTTACTATTAGAGATGGAAAGTAAAGATAAGAGTAGGACAGTTTGTAGCCCTGGTTAGATAGAAATTCCATCCTTATTTGATAGAATCTGACAGCAGTGTAGTAACCAGGAGGTTTTTTATGGGCTTTCTTATGGATTGGATCAATAGTTTTCAATACAAACACTAAAGTGTTGAAGTTCCTTTATTGAGAGTTTCTTTTTACCCCATCTGTCTCTTTGCAGTTCCCTGAACAATGTCTTTAAAGAGCACAGGAACCCCAAGGAGCTGTAACCCTAAACTGTTCTGTTTTAATAGCATTCCTTGGGCTGTTAGTACAGTAAACCCGCCCGTACTTCACGTCTACTTATCTGATCCCGTTCTTTGTTGGGTATTATGGCGTTTCTACGTGTTTGTGTGTGTGTGTGTGTGTGCCTGCATGTTATGATTTGTTCTTGTATGTCTGTGTGTGTTTCCACAGCTGGTTTGGATATCGGGGCCCTGGCAGACGGTTCCCCAGTGGCGCTCCAGTCTCAGGCTGGCCGGAGGACCCCTCGAACCCTCCCAGAGGAACCCTTGGACGGTATTCTCAGCCCAGAGCTGGACAAGATGGTCACTGATGGTCAGTGCAAGAGACCAAAGTTTCAGACTTTACATTTTTTTGTGAGCTTCATACCATCCTGTATGAAGCTTAATAATCTGTTTACTCCAATTCTCTTATTCTTTCAGAATCAATTCTCAGCAAACTTTACAAAATTCCAGGTTTGTAATTTCATCCTTTTTCAAAACTGTACTGAAACTGCTTGATACCATTGTAATCCAACACTAATGCTTGTGAATGTGAGCAGTGTCGTGGCGGCATGAGCTAAACTATGTTTGAAAAATTAGTGAGGGGAATTGTACGTGTGTCTTTAGGTATACAAAAAAAACTAAATAAGAACAATGCTGTTACATCTTTATCATACAGGAGAAATGAATGTCTGACAGTGCACTTAAATGAATGAACCCACGTTTACTTCTGCCTCATTGGGAAATACATTCTACTGTCCCACTGTGTTACAGAGCTGGAGGGAAAAGATGTGGAGGATCTCTTCACGGCAGTCCTCAGCCCCAGCACGAGCCGACCACCTCTACCACAGGTGCCTCACCCCCAGGGTCCGGGTTCCCTCCCTGCCACGCCTGGCACTAGCATTTCTCATCCCAACGCAGGTACGTCATTGAGCACCGTTTTTGTTGTCACAGGTGGCATTTGAATCTTCTGTTTTAGGAAATGAATGCATCTAATCGACATTTTGTGTCGTGTTCAGGGAATTCCATGTTTCCAAGGATGCCAATGATCAATGGCATGATGGGTCCAAACCAACGCTTCCCTTCAAATCCAGGAGCAGGGCCCTGCATCCCAGAAGATTTCGCCCCCCTCAACCGTATGCCTTTCACTGACAATCCAAGGTAATGTGCCGCCTCCTTCATCTACACTATCAATGACTTATTCACAAATTCCAAACGTATCTGTTTTTCTTTGCCAAACCAGATTCTTTTGTTGTGATTAAAGGCGAGTCGTTCTGCTGTCGTTACAGGGATAGAAAGTTTAATCAGATGCCTCGAGAGGCCGTCGGTCCGTGGCTCTCCCCTTCCCATGGCGCCGGCCCCACAACCCCTGGACCTCTGCCTGAGGGGGAGACTGAAGCCATGTCAAATGCCCAAAGGAGTACACTCAAGTGGGAGAAAGAGGAGACACTTGGGGAACTGGCCACCGTTGCGCCAGTCCTATATACAAATGTCAATTTTCCCAACCTCAAAGAAGAATACCCAGGTTTGTAAACAATACATTTTATCCCCTTTTGTCTGTTGTTTTGAAATCTTCATCATTGCTCTTAATTCTGCCCATCCCTGGCTGTTTGTTTGGGTGTGCCTCCTGCACCGTTTCAGTCCAACAGTATAAGAAAGAACCTTGTATGCTGTGTGAGACTGTTGGCATGACAACTCCTGCTCATATTCTTTCTTCAGATTGGTCTACGAGAGTAAAGCAAATTGCAAAACTCTGGAGGAAAGCTAGTTCCCAAGACAGGGCCCCATATGTGGTAAGATCACTCACATTTTTTGCAGATGTTCTTTAACTATCTCAAAGTCTATTCCCATTTCTAACCATGCCAGACATAGAACTGTCACCACGCTTATATTAGTATGCTGAAGGACGACTCGTCATTCGCATCTGACCTCTTGCCTCTTGCCAATGTCATTTGAACTCTGGTCATTTACAAAGCAACTGATTAACATAGAAAGCCCTGCTCAGTGTTAGAACTCACCATGGCCTGGGTAATTAAGGTCACTCACAGTTTATGTCTGGCAGAGGCCATTTTCCAAGTGTAAAATGTATAAATGTATACAGTGTCAAGGTTACATGGTAGCTGTTGTCTTTCATGGCTTTTGTTTGATCTCCCACTTAACAAATCTTATCTATTGAGATCCCTGATTTACAGCAATATACAGCACAGTTTACGTATTCAGCACAAAGAGGTGAAGTTACTACAGTGGGTGAAATGGCATAGAATGTCAGTCCCTCAGACATTTTTGATGAAAAATGGCTTTAGCCAATCAGATTCATTTAAATGTTTCAGTCAACATCCTTGGAGTGCTTTATCCAGCTACGCGCGGACTCGACACTAGTGACCAAGTACCAAATCTGCCACTATTCCCTCTTGTGGATTACAAACCGGGTGGATAGATTCAGAGATTCAGATTGTTTTTCTTCTCTTTGTGCCTGTAATCCCCTTTTCAACCTTCACGACTTGTGTACTAGCATTGCAATGTTCAATAATAGCCCTTGGGTGATTTCCTATACCGTCTCTTGGGATTGTATCTCTTCGGGGTGCTGACATTGCTCGATGCTTGACCCATAAACGAGGGAGGTTATGAAATGTGTACGTCAGCTCTGAACCATCGTGCTGTTTTGAACACACAGTCCACTCCAAGGTAGCTGGACTAATGAGAGGGAAGCTAAAAGTCAGCTTATGAAATACACTCACCCGGCATTACTGAAGCACCAATGTATCATAGTGGGATATTAAAACAAAGCTATGAAAGATAATTTGGATGTTTCATGCAGACACGTTTTGATTTACAGTTTTACACGTGTTTCCATTTTAAAGGTTGGCTTTAGCAGCCATATTTCATGTGTAATCTTGTGTTCATGAATTATTTTGTAGTGTAATAGTAAATCATATGCTCATATGTTTACATTTTGCAATTGTGATTGATTTGCTGTTTAGCAAAAGGCAAGAGATAACCGAGCAGCCCTGCGCATCAACAAAGTCCAGATGTCGAATGAGACGGTGAAGAGGCACCATCCGCAGCAACAGCCCCCTGAGGTGTTTGATCCCAACATACCACTAGACACAGAACTGCTGTTTAAAGACCCTTTGAAACCAAAAGAGTCAGAGCATGAACAAGAGTGGAAGTTTAGACAGGTAAGAGTGTATGCAATGAAGTCAGGGAATGCAGCGGCAGGTCCACATTATATTAAGACAGCCTAGAAGTGGTGGTTTAGTAAAGCTCCCTAAACAACTGCACTATCCTCCACATTAACCCTGATGACATTGGTGGTTAGTAGGTCCAGTTCATTTTTGGCATGAGACTGATATTCGCTGCATCCGTTTTTGACGGCTAACCCTAATCTCCACTGTGCCCTTCCAACAGCAAATGAGGCAGAAAAGCAAACAGCAAGCCAAAATTGAAGCCACTCAGAAATTGGAGCAAGTTAAGAATGAGCAACTGCAGCAACAACAGCAGCAGCAGAGCAACAGCCAGTCAGAGGAAGATGGCAACAACAGTGGAAACCAGAGCCCGGCCTCCCAGCCCAGCAATGGCAGCATGTCCCCCATTCAGCAGCTCAATTCTAAAGACGGCTTTGCCAGGCCGCAGCTACCAGGGACGCCAACTTCAGGTCCCCCAGAGGATGTGTTCCTACGACCACCTCCTCCCCCTCCATCCGGCTCTTCGTCCCAGCCTCAGTCCCCACAGGTGTTCTCACCGGGTTCCTCTGGTTCCAGACCCTCTTCTCCATGGGACCCATATGCCAAGATGGTTGGGACCCCGAGACCTCCAAATACATGTCGCAGAATGGCTGTGGAATCTGGTAAATCCCCCACGTCCTTGATGGAGCAGCAGGACAGAGGGAGACCCTCCCCTGTTAATGAATCTTTTGGCTCTCCAACATCAATGAGCAGTGACCCTTATGCCAAACCACCGGACACGCCAAGGCCAACTGGGGAAATGGACCCCTTCCTGAAGCCCATGGGTCCCCCAAGGGCCAGTCAGGCTGCTCAGGGAAGGCCCCCCATGGGCTCTCCGGGCAGAGACCCATACTCAAGGCCCATGATAAGGAATGAGGCCTACCAGCGCATGGCCCAGAACCGGATGATCTTGTCTGACCCTTACTCAAGGCCTTTACTAACACCAATCCCTGGAAGTAATGAATCTGGCTCAGTCCCTCTGTTCAAAACCCCTATGCCCCCTCCTCAGGCTCAGGATACCTTCAACCGACCCGGCCCATATCCTACCGACAGGTTCTCCCAGAATCAGCTCAATGACCCCTATGCTCAGCCTCCGCATACCCCGAGACCATGCGGAAATGACAACTTCACCAGTCCTCCTCGAATGGGACAACATCACCCTCAGGTGCACCCGTTTTCTCAGCCAGGACCAATGACTCAAATGTCTAGAAACCCCTACGCCCATGCACCTTCTACTCCGAGGCCCGACCACTTCACCTATGACCCTTTCGCCCAGCCCCCTGGATCCAACAAACCGGCCACTGACCCTTTCTCTCAGTCTACAGGTAACCAACGATCCATGAATGAAGCCAGTGCTCAACCTCGCCCATTTTTTGAGCCCTATGCCCGACCCCCCGGCACCCCGCGTCCACACGACAACTACGGTCAGCCTTCAAACGCCTCTAACCCGTCTTCAGACCCCTACTCACAAGCTCCTTCTACTCCTCGACCAAGTGGGATGAACCAGTTCACACATCAGCCGCACCATGGACAGAGGATGTCCCCTTCCCACTCAGTGGACCCTTACGCTCAGCCACCAGGTACTCCACGGCCCTCTGTTGGAGACAGGTTTTCTAAGTCCCCGGGCAGCCAGAGGGGGACAATAGAGCCATTTACCAGTACGCCCGGGACATCTAGGCCAGGGAGCAGTGACATGTTTCCCCAGCCTGGGGCTTCCAGACCGATGCTCAGTGACCCCTACGCCCAGCCCCCAGGGACCCCACGGCCTGGTCCTGATGTGCTCGGCAGACAAGGACCAAGGCTAGGACTGATGGGAAGCCAGGATCTTTTCTCCCCACCTCAAGGCCGACTTCACGAGACCTTTCCTCATCCAGGCTCACAAACACCGAAACACCCCAGTGTTTCAGAAGATGGATTCACACAGTCACCCTCCAGGAGACCCATTCAAACACCCGGCCATGACCCATATGAGCAAGCCCCCATGACCCCTCGGCCACAGTCGATGGAGAAAATGGAAATGAAAGATCAGTCATTTCTAGGTAACAATGGAACTGTTCTTCATGACCCGGGCCATCTGTCTAACAACCCGCAAATGCATGGTACTTCCTCTGAAGGCGTTGCTCTCGCTGAGAGTGAGGAGAGACTTAGACAGGTACGTGAAAAGCCTTGTCTGAATGTTCGTATCACTCATACGATACTAAAGCAACTTTATTGTTGTCCATTCTCGTTTTCCTAACATAAAATATTTGGGTGTTTTTTAAACACGATGGTCGTAGTTTTAGCTTTGGCCATCAGTTTTTGAATGTTTCACTCAGTTAGCTAGATTCAGAGACATTAATAGTTAAACACGGCAAGAACGACCGTCAGATAACCACACAGCAGCAACGACACCCTGCCAAGCCATATAGTGAGCCATATTATTAAGCCCATTTTTGGGAATTGAGAATGTCAGGGATAGAAGCACGTAAAGGAAGTCAAAAACTGTGGAGTTTTAAGTAGCTGACGATCTGTTGTAACTGTAGAAATACCATTGAACGCTATAGTTGGCCCATTCACCATGTTACGGGCTAAATATATGTACCTTTGTTTGTCTTTTTTAGCGACAAAGAATTAGAGAGCTAATCCTCAAGCAGCAGCAACAGAGGAGTGCTATTCGACAGGAGAGGGGCCCTCAGGAACCCGCTGGCATCATAACCCCAGGAGCAGCACGGCCCTGGCCCCAGGAGGGCCCTGGGCATCAGGGGGAAATGTTCAACCGGCCTCCCCCACCTTATCCTGGACAAGGACCCATGAGAGGGCCAATGCGGTTTCCTGGACCTTTTCTAGGCAATCAGCGTGGCCCTTTCCCTAATGACGGACAACTCCCCAGGGGCCCACATCCTGGAGATCCTAGTTTGAGACATCCAGGACCAAGGTTTGTGTGATGATGCCATTTTTAGGATATTCTGTAATCGATTACTCACCACTGCACAAATCTAGGAAGTCCCATGCTCTGTATTTTTACATTTTGTTCTCTTATCCTATTTTAGGTTTGCGTTTCCACCTGGGGCTCTTGGACCTCATGGGGCCCAAGAGTTCTTCCCTCGAGGGCAACACCCAATGCAGGACGTCCCTCCTCAAATGCGACGGTCCATGTCTGCCGAAATGGCAAAGAACATGGGGGGTAACCCAATGGGGCTTCCCCAGCACTTCCCGCCGCGTGGCATGCCAGTGCAGCAGCACAACATAATGGGTCAGCCTTTCATCGAGCTGCGACACAGAGCCATAGAAAACAGGTCTCGTATGCCGTTTCCGCCTGGTGCTATGCAAGGAAGCCACATGGATCTCAATCTGCAGGGTCAGCGGCTACCGGGATTCCAAGGAACACCCGACTCCAGGTTCCCTTTTAATCAGGGGGCCAGGATGATGGACCCCATGGCCAGCAACAGTGGGCATGTACAGCTGTCTGCCAGCATGGACAATCTTCATCAGCACGCCCAAATGTCAGGAAACCACGCACTCAGACAATCCCATTTGATGAGATCCATGAGCCAGCCTGCTTCAAATGAGACCCAGAACATGGCAGCCTCTATGATCCTGACGGCGCACCCTGCTGGGCAGACTGAGGGAGGCTCCGTGTCCGGTAGTGAAGGTGTGGAGGAGAAACTGGATGCAGAAGAATCAGCTGTCAAAGATCTTGAGGACGTGGAGGTGAAAGACTTGGTGGATGCTGACTTGGAAAATCTCAATTTGGACCCTGAAGATGGCAAAGACTTGGATCTGGAGACGAATGACCTACACCTTGATGACTTCCTAAAATCTGGGAAATTTGACATCATTGCCTATACGGACCCTGACCTAGATGACATCAAGAAAGACATGTTTAATCACGAACTGGATCTCAGTGATCCTATGGATGACAGTGCAGACACCACAGACATCAACAAAAACACCTGCACAGGAAGTGGGGCGTCGTCCAGTTCGGCATCACTTTCTGCAATGTCGGAGTCCTCCGGGGTTCAGTCGGTAGCTGAAGTTAAGCTAGAAGCCCCCGGGAGTCAGGACTCTGCTTCTTTGGCACTTGGACAAGAAATTAAAATGGAAGTCAAAGACTGTAAGCAACTCTCTGATGTTGTAGACCAGCAAACCTCAAACCAGCAGGGAGGGCTCTCTGACTCCACCCCGGTGCTGTCTGGTTTACTCATAAAGCAGCAGCCTGAGGAACAGTCATTAAATCCAATCATTGAGTCTGTCAGTCAAGGAGTTAACCTCATGCCCCAGCCGAACCAAGCCACCGACACGGGACTTACCGACACTGCAGGAGAAACCTCTATGAGCGACTTTGGGGAAGATGGATTGGACCAGAGTGTTCTGGACCAGAGCGGCCTGATGCTGGCCCAGCAGGTGGCCTTGAGCCAGGCGTTGGGTCAGCACGGCCAACTGCACCGTCCTCTCCTGCTAGAGGAGCAGCCACTCCTATTGCAGGACCTTCTCGACCAGGAGAGGCAGGAGCAACAGCAGCAGAGGCAGATGCAGGCCATGATACGCCAGCGCTCCAGCGACTCCTTCTTCCCCAACATCGGTAAAGCACTCGGGCCACAACTTGTAGTCATGGGCATGTTTGAGATCCGCTGTGTATTGAGAGTGCATTATTTTTCCTTTTCAGATTTTGATGCCATCACTGATCCCATCATGAAAGCTAAAATGGTTGCTCTGAAAGGCATCAACAAAGTCATGGTTCAGAACAACATGGGGATGGCCCCAATGGTCATGAACAGGTAAAAAGGGTTTTTCTTTCTTGAGCAGAATTTTGGTTTTAAAGCAATGATAATTGCTACTGTGGTGGATTGGATGACAAAATGCTGTGTGGTCGATGTATTGCTCCATCATAGATTTCCTCCTGGTCCTCCACCACCTTGTCCCGAAAGCACACCGCTTCCTCCACAAGTTGTTGGACAGGTAATTGAATTATCAATCTTCTTGGATATTATACGAATCTATAATGAAAAACATATAACATATTTGTCAACTTTGCTTTCAGGATGGAAAACTGACACAAGTAGCAAGACCGACTCCTCCAAACTTTGGACCAGGATTTGTCAGTAAGTTCGCTTGAAAAGTATTTTCAACCTTTTCTTTTGAAGGGCAGTCAGGCCGTGAAATATTAAGATGTTTGTTTTGTCGTGCTGTCAAGATTGCCAACAATGGTTGTTTTTTTTCAGACAATGCTCAGAGGGCTCAATACGAGGAGTGGCTCCAGGAGACTCAGCAACTACTTCAGATGCAGCAGAAGTTTCTGGAAGAGAAGATTGGGGCCCACAGGAAGTCTAAGAAAGCCCTGTCTGCCAAGCAGAGAACGGCTAAGAAGGCAGGGAGAGAGTTCCCTGAGGAGGACGCTGAGCAGCTCAAACATGTCACGGAGCAGCAGGGTGTAGTGCAGAAACAACTGGAGCAGGTAAATATTCGGCCTGTCAAGCTCCACCACTGAATCAATCTCTGCCGTCCCCTCAACAATGGCTTACCACAGCATTTTCCTCTCATTAGACGTGTGAAGCAGCGTTTTGTGTTCATATGGCCGTGCACTAGAAGTAGTTGCCTACATGTCGACAGTAATTAAGACTATGTTATGGAGGATGTATGGCGTTCAAATAAGGTATATCTGAATTATTTAAACAAAAATTAACTGTAAAGTTTATTTGTAGTGTCATTACAAATAAGTAGCATTTTAAGGGGAAGATAAACGCAATTATTTAAGAGTTAAAATATTTATTTGAACTGCATTATTTTTTATTTATCTTACATTAATAGTATACTTCATTAGTATTACATATGAACTAAGTAGTCTAATTGTTTTGGTATTTAAAAACAGACTTTCCCAAATATACTTGGACACACAGGAATCAGGAAACATTTATTAGCCAAAATATGTCAAACATACAAGGAATTTGTCTTGGCAGTTAGTGCGCGACAGTAGACAGACAAGACAGCAGTGCACAAGTAATAAAATAAAGTGGAATGAAATGCTAATGCAATGGGTTAGTAGAAAAAGGCTATGGGTTAGTATAAAACAAGGGAATAAAGTTAAACAATATTAAATATTAAAAAGTTAAAAAGAAAAATATTAAGCATAAAGTGCACTAACGAACAAGTAACAGACAAGAGACAAAGTGACAAGTGACGACAAAGTGATGAATTGCCATGTGACAGGATTGTGTCTGCACTGCCCTGTCAACGTGCTTTCACTACCTGAGAGAGTAGCGTTGAAAACAATGTCGTGGTTGTATATTCCAACTTCTGCTTTAAAGTTAAATTCTTCAGTTTGTGTTTGAAATTAAAATCATACATTTCTACCCTTGGGTCTGATCAAAAGAACGTGAACGTGATATTTTTTCTTAATGTGTTTTGTTTCAGATCCGCAAGCAGCAGAAGGAGCACGCTGAACTCATAGAGGAGTATCGAGTCAAACAGCAGCAGAACAATATGACACCCGTACTGCCTGGGATGCACCCAATGCCCGGCCCCGCTGGAATGGTCCCGAGTGGACCGCCGAATGTCCAACCTCCTCTCAACCCTATAATGCAGATGCCACTTCATCCTGGCCCGCCAAATCCACCTCCCTGTAATCCCAACCCACCACCCGGCTGGCACCCTGGTGCTCCCATGCCCATGGCGGGCCCGGGAATGCCCCCCATAATGCACCCCCAAGTACCTGTGGGAAATCCAGGTCAACCTCATCAGATGCCAATAGGTAATATACCTCAACACTCGCAAATGCCTGTGGATCCCCAGGCACCACCAGCTCCACCCGGTGGTGTAAAACCCGTACAGGGAGGTGGTGTGAAGTTTGATGACAACAACCCATTCAGTGAAGGCTTTCAGGAGCGGGAGAGGCGGGAGAGGCTCAGGGAGCAGCAGGAGAGACAGCGGGTGCAGCTAATGCATGAAGTGGAACGTCAGAGAGCCCTGAAACACCGCATGGAAATGGAGCAACAAGGGATGATGGGGCCAGAGGGGAACATGGCACCGCTCGCTCAGATGCCGTTTTTCAACGCCGAGCTGCCACAAGACTTCATGCAGCCCCAGAGGCCTCCTCTGCAGCAGCAACAGCAGCAACTTGCACCGATGTTCCCCCAGCAGCAGGGCATGCAGCCCGGCATGGGCTCCCCGCCCGGGGCGTTCATGCAAGGCGAAAGGAGGGCCATGATGGGCAATGGGATGATGCACCGCGACATGGGGCCCGGTTTGGGATCTGATAATGTCGGCCTACAAGCGCCGAATTTTGCCCAATGTCAACAGAGACCTCGTCACTTCAGCGGGCCAGGACTGATGCTTCCGATGCCGGGTGAGGGTCCACCATTTGGAGGCGACTCGGCTACGCCTCTACCGTCTAACTTTCCAGGCTCCGGTCAGTCTCTCATCCAACTCTACTCCAACATCATTCCAGACGAGAAGGGCAAGAAGAAAAGGAACCGAAAAAAGAAGAAGGATGACGACGCCGATTCAGTGAAGACCCCTTCAACGCCTCACTCGGACCTTACAGCCCCGCTCACACCGTGTGTCTCAGACACCTCCTCTACTCCAACCAGGAACACCCATCTGTTTGGTGAGCAGGACCTCTCAAGGTCCCCCTTACTGGGATCCTCCACCCCCAGTCACTCAGAGCTGGAGAGGCAGCTTTCTGGAGGCCAATCCGGACACCACGGCGTCTTGTCGGACGCAGCAAGAACCCAGGCTCAGGAACACGACAGGATCCTTAACAACATCAAGCTGGAGCAGATGGATGCCAGCGAGTGTCACGGGCCCCGGGAAGGCCCCATCGGCTCGGAAATGAGCTACGTGAAGCAGGAGGGTAAAAAGGGGAGTGTGTCCCCCTTCCCTGCGGGGCAAAGTCCCAACAAGGGGGAGGCGGGCAATGAACTACTGAAACACCTTCTGAAGAACAAGAGCACACCTCCATCTGGATTGTCCCAGCAGAGGTCAGAGGAGACCATGCGCCTGGAGGAGGAGGAGCTGGCAGACTGCAAAGCCCTGCTGAGGCAAAGCTCCATGGACAGCAATGGGGTCAGTCTGGTGTCTTTGTGTTAGTCATAGTGCTAGAGCGCCGAGCGATCAACATAGTGAGTCATAGACGGGCCAGGTGATTCAGACGGGGGGCGGGAGGGTGGTTAAATTGGTATGAGTCATAGCTGTACATTTATGAATGAGTCATAGTTCTGTGTTTGAAAACATCCAACTTGGAGGCATAACTCAATTTATGCTTTTTTCACGTCTCCAGGCGTACTCGGATGGCACTCAAGACTTCGCTGGAACGGTGCTCCTTGAACAGGAGAAGAAGAAAGGGAGGAACAAGAGGGCACCGAAAGGAGGGGAGAAGACTACATCTCGCTACAAGAAGAGGAAGAAGGAAGGGGATGAGCGGCAACTAATGCACTCTGGCCCCGACACTGTAATGAGCCAAATCAAACAGGTAAGATTCATTTCAAGTCCGTATCACCTGCTCTTCATTAAATTGGTTGGGGCTGCACCACTACACCTCTTTGGGAACAGGGGATGGTAGGAGGATTATGGCTTGGAATCCCAACACCTTATTCAGAATTCAGCAGTGTTAATTAATTAATGGTGTCCACCGAGTGCACAGGCACTAATTTTGCATATTATAAGCATTGTATTGTAATAAGATCGTGGACCACAGTTGCACACATGTATTAGAGGGTGTTATTATTCAGGAAAGTGAAAGGCGATTCATGATTATACACCAAGCAGTTCATTGATAGAGGTTTATTAATTTAAACATCATGAATCGGACTCATTAGAAATGTAGTACAATATCACCTCACCGTCATTTAGTATAGCTCTTCAGAACCAAATGAGTGGGCACTTTGTATGCTGGTTTTTCACACAAGTATCACACAAAGCGAAATAAAGGGAAATAATGGCTGCGTGGTTTTGAGCAGGGAAAGCTCCTTGAACAGATTTTTCCTCCCATTTGCCACATTATACTTTTAGGTTGTTGTTGCTAGTATTCTTCTGGTAGTCAATCAAAACTCGAGGCCACAGTTGCAGAGATTTCACCTCAGGCACGAGGGTCTATATTTAGAGGTAACATTGTGGGGGATTTTACAGGCAGTAAAAGAAGATGTTAGGGTATAATCCTGCACACCAAACCTAATACTAAGATGAACGATCATCATAAATGTAATGCACAAACTCCTGTTTCTCCCTCCTGACACAGCAGCTCTCCCTGTTGCCCCTAATGGAGCCGCTGATTGGGGTCAACTTTGCCCACTTCGCTCCCTACGGCAGCGGCCAGCTTAATGGAGAGAACCTCCTGTCGGGTACCTTCGGCAGCGCCTCACTCGACGGAGTGTCCGACTATTACTCCCAGCTGGCCTACAAGGTGAGATCCGCTTACCGTACCAACTGGGTTAACAGTGGACTGTGTGTTTTGTGTGTGCGTGGCATGCGCTGACTCTGCATTTTGGTTTTGATTCCTACAGCAGAGTAACCTTAGCAATCCACCAACACCACCGGCGTCGCTTCCACCCACCCCACCACCGGTGAACCGACAGAAAATGATCAATGGATTTGCCACGACGGAAGAGCTGGCCAGCAAAGCTGCCGCCTTGGGTAAGCGCTCCGACGGACGTACCTTAGAGGTGTACAACGCAGGATTTACCAGACACAACCATTCATTGACTCATGAATCCCTCTTGATGATCACTTAGAACAACTAGAAGTATGTGGACATCCTGCTCTGTCCTGGCATCTATTTCCCCATTATTTTGCTGTGTTTGGGATATTTCTGGCAGTCTAACCTCCGGTCACGTGCAAGTTTTCATCCAAGAGGCCACTAAACTGGCAGTCTAAATGCATATACAGTGAGGTGACGGTTTGACCATCTCGTTTACAGACATTAAGCAGCAATCCCTGCGTAGGAAATCTTTAATGAAGTTACATGACTCTGTATTGCATAATCCTAGTCTCGCAATGAGGATTATTACCTTCCCTTTGAGTGCACATACTGTGCACGTGTTGATGTTGTGCTCCTATTCCACACAGTGTCCAAAGGCCTGGTCCCGAAGCCACTACATGTTCCGTTTAGGACTGAGGAAGACCTTCTAGCCCGGGCCATTGCACAGGGTCCCAAGACTGTGGATGTACCGGCCTCCCTGCCCACACCGCCTCACAACAACCAGGAGGAGCTCAGGTAAAACTCCTTCTCAGTGTCTTTCGGAGGGCTACTGGCCCACTAACAGTTCTCATAGCGTTTGTTTGTGTTTCGTGCCCATGTAATCGCGATAAGGGATCTGGGCCGCACGGTCCCGACACACGTGATTCATCTTTTGTTTCTTCCCCTTAAATGATGACAGCAACAGAGGACAGGAGCCTTGCAAGGACAGGGACACACCAGACAGTTTCGTTCCATCCTCATCTCCTGAGAGCGTGGTCGGCATGGAGATCACTCGCTACCCTGACTTGTCTCTGGTGAAGGAAGAGCCACGGTCCCCATGTCTGTCTCCGGTCCTCCCCATGCTTCCTGCGCCTGACGGGAAAGGTAAACACACAGGACATTCATTTCTCTGATTGTGATCATGATTAATTGGGTGTGTTTTGTGCATGCAATTAAATACACAACTCCAGCGTACCTTACAAGTAGTAGTACAAAGCTTTATGCATGTGCTCCGTTTTTATTTTCCAGGATCTCAAATCAAACTGCAGGATATCAAAACAGAGCCGTCGGCGATGTTCTTCGGCTCCCCCTTTGGCTCCATGTCTAATGATTCCAAACAAGGGCTGGTGTCTGTAGCTATCACACTGAGACCAGCTGCAGCAGAGGTATGAATATGTGACACTGATTTGTTAGTAGTCAGATAAACCAGCCTCTTTGGAGGACTAAATTGACTTTGATTTTATTATTTCTCTAATAAGTAGCCAATGAGAGAGGATACTCTTTTTGAATCAGTTGAAAAAGGTCTAGCAAGGGGCCAACTTTAAATGTGGATTTATAAATGAGAGTTTGGATGAAAGATCTAATTAACTTTTGTTTCCTCTCAGAATATCACAGGTGTGGTGGCAGCCATTTCCGACCTACTGTGCGTGAAGATCCCCAGTAGCTACGAGGTCAGCAGCACGCCAGACAGGGGGCACCCATCAATGCTCAGTGGGCCACGGGTGGGCCCCCACGGCATGGAGCCTCGGCTCTTCCACGGACAAGTCGACAACGGAGGGCTTCACGGGCGGCCGGGACAGATGATGAGGCCCAGTGGAGCACATGCAATGATGCAACAGCAGCAGGCACATCATTTCCGATTCCATCCCAACAGCCCAGGTGAGGGAGAAAAGCTAAATTAAATGGGAACATTTTTAATTGAAAGTCGTGTCTCATTAGCGCTAAACATAATTACTGCCTGTGAAAGGGCAAAAAGTAGCGACCGTGAAGGTCAAGTATCATTACACTGTAGGTTTAATCAGAAAATGCGCTTAGGAATGTCCTCCCTTTTCCTTACGTCAGGTGCAGCTCTGGCTCGAGGACCAGACCAGAGGCCCCCAGCCAGCCCGGGATGCAAACCTCACTGGTGTTGCCATTGTAAGGTGGTGGTTCTGGGAAATGGAGTGCAGAAATCCATCAAAGATCTCCCCGCCCACATGAAGGTACCAAATGAATGCGTTTTAAATACTTTGAATAGCCGCAGGGTGGAACATGAGTAGGCAGGCCACTTTTCAGCCACCTTTCCACCGATCAGAGTGAATTTGACAATACCGATGTACAAAGGTTTATACATACACATTACCGGTTCAGAGAAAGTCCTCTCTGCCAAATGATTCTGGATCATTTATTATAGATTTCCCTGACTTCACCTATGAAAGTATAATCTATGTTCAGCCTTAGGGGCCATAAACATTCACGCACACAAACATTGCACCACAGTAATACTGCATATATCCTCTGATTATGTAAATCCGGCCGGCTCTAGTTAAATCCCTTTCAGATGAATTGGTGGGTTAAATGGCCTACCCCATGACTTCAGTCATTAGTGTGTTGGTATTTTGAATATCGTATGTTTTTTTAATTTATTACTTTTTTTAACATGAGTTGAGCTTAAGCAGTTCAAATCGTGGAGGCTTTGATTTAACACCTCATTCTATATTCAGCCGGTTAAAGTTCGGACTTCTCTCATTAGGAATCTGGAGCCCGTTTGAAATCTGAAGACCTGGTGTTCTGTAGTCACAGCTGCTTCCTTCTCTACTGTTCCTCGTCCCCCCTGCAATCCAGATCCACCACAGAAACTAAGGTCTGCACAGCTGGAAAACACCACGGCTCCAAATAACACAAAATTGATTTCTCTTTTTTTTGAATGTTATTACTGGACATCATGGTTGTTGTCTCATCTTTTCAGGAATCGGTGTCCCTTCTCCCCGACCCCGACCAAACCGAGAGCCTTTCCAAGATCCTGCACCAGTACAGCAACAACATGTCATCGCTGGATGTGCACTGCCTGGCCCAGCTTCAGCCTAAGCAGTCTCCCCCCTCCACTCCTCCCATTCCCTTTCCCATGGCAGACGAGACGGCCAAGATGGACATCAAGTCCGATGCCATCAAGGTCACGATGAAGCTGAAGGCCCGGCCAAGGTCCCACGATGGCTGGCACCAGGGAAAGAGACAGAAAGGACTTCGCTGGAGGAAGTGGACTGTCCAGGTGTTGGTACCAAGGGGGAACTCGCAACTCCCGGATGAGGATAAGATCGACGAGCTCCTGAAGAAGCTCGGGGCCTCGCTGCGGCCCCCCGCGTCGCTCCGGGACCGCAGGCGATGCTGCTTCTGCCACCAGTTTGGCGACGGGATCACCGACGGCCCCGCCCGGCTCCTCAACCTCGACCTCGACGCGTGGGTTCACCTCAACTGCGCCCTGTGGTCGACGGAGGTCTACGAGACGCAGGCCGGCGCCCTGATCAACGTGGAGCTCGCGCTGCGCCGCAGCCAGACGGTGCGCTGCGCCTACTGCCAGCAGACCGGAGCCACCAGCGGCTGCCACCGCCTGCGCTGCACCAACGTCTACCATTTCACCTGCGCGCTGCACGCCCACTGCACCTTCTTCAAGGACAAGACCATGCTGTGTCACGCCCACAGGCCGCGCGGGACCGCCGGGCAGGCGCTGGAGCACGAGCTGCGCTGCTTCGCCGTCTTCCGCCGCGTCTACGTCCAGAGGGACGAGGTGCGGCAGATCGCCTCCGCCGTCCGGCAGCCAGAGCTGGGCTACACCTTTCGGGTCGGCAGCCTGGTGCTGCACGCCGTGGGACAACTGACCCCTCTGCAAATGGCCGCCTTCCATTCCTCGACGGCCATCTTCCCAGTGGGCTACGAGGCTTGCCGCATCTACTGGAGCATGCGCCACGGCAACCGGCGCTGCCGCTACGTCTGCTCCGTCGAGGACAGAGAGGAGCTGCCGGAGTTTACCATCAGAGTGATCGAACAGGGCTACCAGGACCTGGTCCTGACCGACACCTCTGCTAAAGGTTTGTCCTCGCCCGTTCGTCCCGGGAGTGTTGTTGCTGCGTGTGTGGGAGCTTGGCTTCTAACCTTGTGTGCCTCACTGGAATTAGGAGTGTGGGATAAGGTCCTCGGCCCCGTTGCGGAGAAAAGAAACGAGGCGGGCACTCTGAAGCTCTTCCCCGTTTACCTGAAAGGAGTGGACTTGTTTGGACTCACAGTCCCCGCAGTCGTCAAGATCTCTGAATCGGTTTGTTTTTTTTTCTTTTTCCTTTCACTCAGGTCAGATATAATATTATTTAAAGGCTGCAGGACATAACCCCCTTTATTCTTATAATCCAGCTCCCAGGAGTGGAGGCCTGCGTGCGGTACTCATTCCGGTACGGACGCAACCCTCTTGTTGAGTTGCCTCTCATATTCAATCCAGCCGGCTGTGCCCGCGCCCAACCAAGGACCAGCTCTCCCTCCACTTCTCTGGTCATAAGGTAACGCAGAGGGACGCTGACATGGAGACGCCGTCTGTTGTCCTCAAGCAAGACCTTCTTTCTCATTCTAATTGTTGTAATATAGTTCATATTTCAATGGGTTTCATTACTTCCTGTGCTTCAAGGCCGCATCCACAGGCTGTATCCAGCAGCAGTGCCAGGTCCAACCAGAATGTGGCCCAAGGAGAAGGTGGCGCCCCCCACAGCAAGCCCCCTGTAGTGCATCCCAGGTCTTCTCAGTACCGCTGGATGAAGAGCGAGTGGAGAGCCAATGTCTACCTGGCACGCTCCCGCATCCAGGTCAGTGTTCAAAATTGTGTTTTATTTCTTGCTCGGCTTTTACAGGACAGCTGATGCTCTTGCATTGTCTTCCCTGTGGGCGGGACTTATACCTCTGTGCGTTCACAGGGCTTGGGTCTGTTCGCCGCGAGGGACATCGAGAAACAAACTATGGTGATCGAGTACAACGGAACCGTCCTCCGAAATGAGGTCGCCATCAGCAAGGAGAAGAGCTATAAATCTCAGGTACTGTTTTGACACTTTTCTAAGCTGAAATGACAATTTTCTCCCGTTATGTTTGCCAAAACAAACGGCGAATAAAATCCCCTTTCTGCTCCTCAGAACCGAACGGTGTTCATGTTCCGCATCGACAGCGAACACGTGGTAGACGCCACTCGCACAGGAGGGCTGGCAAGGTACTGTGACATTCCCCTGGTTATTGTGACATTTTTGTAAACAAATAAGGAGAACATAGAATTACATCCGTCAGCCCCACATCTAGCACGGGGCTGTGGTTTGTCACTGTTTTCTAAGGTGAGGCTCCATTAATAGGGCAGGATAGCCTCAGCCCAGCGATGCTCCAGATCATCTTGAAAACGCGCCTTTTACAATACTTGAGTTTCTATTAACATGTGACGGAAATTTAAACTGCATTTTAAGAGATTTTAGATTTCTAAATTAAGCTCAAAATCAAACAAAACTAGAATGAGACTTTTTGATTGGTACTAATTGTAAATGTAAAATGTCACACGTCCCCTTCTACTTTCAACTGTGTGTCGAAAACGTTGTTGCATGTAATGAATCTCTTTCATTTCTGTGTTTTTCCAGATACATCAACCACTCTTGTGCCCCCAACTGTGTTGCTGAGGTGGTCACATTTGAAAGGGGTTACAAAATCATCATCAGCTGCAATCGCAGAGTCGAAAAGGGAGAAGAGGTGAATATCTTTATCTTCATCAGAATATACTATACTATTCCCACAGAGTTTTTTGGAATTATGGATCGGTATGGTTTGGATTTCATCAATGCTGCTACGATAAATATTGTTTAAAGGGCAGCAATAATGTTCACTATATGCCATGAACTCAATAGTAACTCTGTGGAAACTGATCTATATCCTGAAAGATCACAGATGGCTTTTCGTCATGTTCCTGCTTTTTAAAAGATGATTGATAAAGTGTAGAATTTTCACTACATTGATTATGAATCCCACTGCTTCTATTGACCTGGCCGCCGTGTAGCAAGCGGGCGCTAGTGATGGCTAAGCTTCCACGCTGGCTGAGGCGCTACCGCTAACCATGATTCTTCAGCCCCTCCTGACCCCAAGTACTTGAGGTCAATGCCAAACCGTTACCAGAGCAAAGCAGTGGGATTCACAGCTACGCTTTCGCCGTGCATTCGGTAGCTTGAACGGGATTGTCAAGAAATGATGTTCCGCTCCTTTTTTCCAGCTGTGTTTTGACTACCAGTTTGACACCGCGGAGGGTCAGCACAAGATCGCCTGCCAGTGCGCAGCTCCCGAGTGCAGGAAGTGGATTAACTGAGCAAAACGACAAACCTAAACGCATTCCTCGCTGTGGTGTGTGGATGCTGTGGTCTCTGCACCAAGAAAGAAAAGGAAAAAAGGCTTCACATTAAGGTCATTTTATGAATGAGTGCGATGAACCCTTTTGGAGAGGTGGTTGAATTTAAGTGTTGGTTTCATCTTGATCCCGGAAAGAAAACGGGGCGGAGGAAGGGAAATGTAACACAGTAGCAGGACGTGACTCGTGCCATAAGTGAGGGGCTCTGTTGTATGAGATGCCTCCATCTGTCTGTATGTATCTGTGCGTTTTTTTCGGTGTACATGGGGTGCGGAATCCACCAGCGAATGAGAAAGCACTGTGCAGGGTGCGGCCTTATTGCTTACTAAGGGCAGGCCCTTTTGTTTCATACCGTTAATGTATACCGTATGACTAAATGTAGACATCACTGAATGAGGAATGTACAGCAACGAATACCGCGAAGGGAATATTAACTTGCACTAAAAACAAAAAAGAAAATAAACAACCACAAAAAAAACCACACACACAAAAACTTTTAAAATACTTGATTCCATGAGTCAGTTTTATCATAGATCTCTGTCATGTGATTTGTGTGGAATTCGAAAGGTTTTGTATTTATTACTGAGTGAATGAATTTTATCCTCAAAATGATGAGATTGAGTTGAAGAAGGCTAGATTGCTATTGTTTTTGAAGATTGAGGAAGACATGCTGTTACTTTTTGTATAAATGTACATAAAGAAAACTATAGGAATAACCGACCAAATACTACCTTAACCTTCTCGATGTTTGGGTGTTTTTTAATTGTTTTTGTTTTGTTTGTCATTGAAATTTATTTAAGATGGACGTTATTTCAGTTTGAGAGTATATATTATGATTATTCTGTACAGAATTTGTAATATAACCACAATAATTCACAAAGTATTTTTGTTGTATTAAAAGTAAGGTATTGTAGCGTAGTGTTTTGTGACTTACACATGCTTTGACCACTCAAAAAAAGAAATATTTTTGTTGACTAACGTAACAAGTTATCAGTTACAGAATTTAAAAAAAGACTCTTCAAATAGTAAGAGATCAGTGTGATCTGTTTGCTGTTAATCAGGTTTGATTTTAAAGAACTGTGAATTAGGTTTTGAAACCCAAAAATGACTTTTTAACTTTTTAACACAAATAGGAACACCAACATGTATTTACCTGTTTTTGTTTCTACGTTGCTTTTAAAAATACGGTGCAAACGTCTAATGATATTGTGAGTTAGGCAAACCAGTGTGTGACGGGAGGAGTCGTAATGGGGAACTCTTTGTGTGGAGCCGTAGGTTGTTTTATCTTTTTTGGACAGAAATGGCATTCTCCTTAATCAGAAATATTTCTTATACTGACACTTCACAAGTCACATGCTTAGAAACGGAAGAGTTTTTCGCGTGCACAATTTCAAGTCGACTGTAAAATTTTGGAGACAGTCTTAGAACTTGTAATGTATATGGCATGTATTTTTTTAACTTTCCGAAGACTCAATTGTATATATTTTCTCAATGAATGGTTGTAACAAAATTGTTTCTTGGATATTTTTCTTCTCTTGTATGATATTACATCATCCTGCCAGTGTGTTTGTGCTACATATTCTTGGTTGTGTAGTCAGTTATTTTTCTTTTGTTCCTTTTTTTTTTTTTTTTTTGAAAATGCCTTTTAAAGTGTACAGAGTATGAGGTTTGGAGTTTGTGGAATTGAATTTAGAAACATTTACAAAAATAAACTATTTTACATGTTAGCAAGTTGTGTATGTGACATCAATAATCCCACAGTTTAAAACCATGAGAAAGACCCAATGCGCTGATTGTTTGGGATAATTCTTTACCTTTATCTGTGAAGGAGAAGCCATCAATGCTCCAGGGGATTAGCAAAGTATAAAAGTGATTTACATAACTGAGCGCTGCATTAAACCCATATCCTTTTGGAGGCCGAATGCAAGTAAATATATCAGTCGCTTCCAGACGTTTTGGCCTGTGACCCACACAGCTACCGGGAAACGAGTTATTTTACTTTTGTATCGTACTTTCTCCTCCCTCCATTCTGAAATAAACCTACAAGCTAATAAAGGGTTTATTGTGGGTCCTTGGCCGTCGCCGTTGCAGAAATGGTGTCTTATGTTTTCAATTTACTTTAAGCTCGCGTTACGACAGAAATGTCGAGCTGACATCATACAAATTGCCCTCATTTGTCAACGTCGTTGGCAACTGAGCAACAAAATATATCACTTTGTAACTTTTATATTGGAGAAAGCTATTGCTGCTAATTAAAAGATCATGGACTTTATTATCCCGTTGTAGCATCCTTGCACTGGCTTCCGTTGGATTTCTAAATGGATCCTAAGGTACTGCTTTACCTATAAAGTACTAAATATTGTAGACTGACACCCCTGACTTTTGGTTTACAGAATAGCAAATAGTTTCAAGCTGAACACATGACCGTGCATTTACTTAACTGAGAGCGTGTGTTCTTTTAGTGTTTGTATTGTTCTGCTCTACATTAAATATGTATAAATATTTGCCAACAAAAAAGACCGGTTATTATTCAAATGACCATAATAACATCGCATTTAGTTCGTGTCCATGAAGCGAGTGAAACGTCTGAGTCGTGCTGACATCTGTTGGCGAGCCGTTCACTTACATGTCCGGTGTAGCGCCGAAACCGGCTTCCCTTTCAAAAACGTGTCTTCCGGACTCCGCGTTCTGCGGGACGCGCATTTGTTGCGGGGCGACGGACTGCGACGTAACACCGCGTAAACAAGGCGGCGTCGACAGCGCGCGAGAAAGTCACTGGAAGACGCGAGCCGTGCCCACTTCCGGGTGGAGGAGGAGGCGGCGCCCTCGTAGTAAACACACGGGGGCGGCCAGAGCGAAGGTGGAGGCGGCTGTTGGTGGTCAGCGGGCGCGGCGCAGTAGTTAATTACCACACTTTTGTTGCTGGGGGGAGGAGGAGGAAGAGGAAGAGGAAGAGTGTGAGGCGGGGGGGGGTCGCTTTAAAAAAAAAATGGGAAGCACGGTGATGGAGTCCAGCAAGGACCCCTCAAAGAACAGGCCGAAGCGAAGACGAAGTCTGCGGATCAACATGCCAGTGAGTCGGTGGGAGTATCCACGCATTTTACTTCTTACCGTAAACAAACAACACATTACTACCTAACAAAAAAACAGGCTTGTTGTTGAGCTTGTTTTTGTTCTGTTGGGGTCGTGGGATTTGTAACGTTATATTTTAACATGATGTCCAACAGTAACCCTTTAACCCTTTAATGGGTTGTCAGGGCAGGGCCCCCCCCCCCCCCCTGTCTCCTAACAACTAGCGTTATTAAGGCAAAGACGAAAGGATTATTACGCCATGTCCTGTTCAGGTATTCTCTATATGCATTGGGAGGAAAACAAGTAATAACAAGCAAAGCAGCTGTTCTACGGGAACCAGCAGGCTCCTTTACGCTCACCTGTTTATGCAACATTAAGTGCATTTAGTGGCACACAGGCTTCTATTCACCAACGTCTGGGGCTTTTTTGTTGCTGTTCTTCTGTGCTTCACAAGCCCACGATGAAGTGAACTGTGCAGACTTTACAGCTTCAGCCGAGCTTCTGTTTTCCAGGGTCAAAACATCTCCTGGACAGCGTGGGGACACTTTGCTGACAGCTCATTTGTTTTGTCTCGTTGCGTTGATAACAGCCATTAATCCTGCAGCTCACAGCTACGTGTTTTGTGGATGGCGTCCACGCTTTACTCATTTAAACGCCAACGCATTGGCTGCAACCTGTGTCTCCTTTTTAAAGAGTTTTTGTGCAACAGCAAAGACAGCTGACATAAAGAAATAATGCCGCTGGAAGGGTCATTTCAGGTTTCATGATGCGTTCATTGGCGGCTGTAAAAAGTATAGTAGATAGAAAACTTCTGAATACAATGCAGTTTTATAGCTGGATGTTTTCCTCCAACAAGGTGAAATCCTCCCTGCTCAACCTGAACAACACAGTTGCGTAATATATTCTGGAACAGGTTTGCGTGGTCACCTAATTATTTATCCAAACCTTTCTTCTGCTGAAGTGCCCGAGAGTGGAATGTACGTATGTATGTGAAAGGTTAGGTGTTGTATTTGCTTGCAGAGGTTTCCGCAATGTCAAAGCATGTTTATTTTCCCTCTGAGGTGAAATGTCAAATATCAACTGTGATTGATGAGGAACACCGACATCCATTTTAGCAGAACCAATTACCTGATGACTTGATGCATTGTGTTTACTTTCTATCCTGCAGGACTTTGGTGCGTTTTCTTCCCCACAAGCGGACACGAGCGGCTCCACCAAAAGCGGCGCTCAGACGGTGCACACCTTATATTCTTGACTTTTATTTCTGTCATGGTTTTCATTCGCTTGTCAAATGTTTGTTTTTGTCGAGCTCGCCGAGCTCTTTCCGAGTGAATGATTCATCTCGGCTCTTGTTTGTTTGGCTTTGAACCTCGCTTAGATGTGGATTTGGGGGGGGGGAGCAAAATATTACTCAAGGCCATGTCTCCTGTTCTGCCAACGCTCACTGGCTCACTGTAACATTACCCCCTCTGCGCCCGGGCATCGCTGGAGCACATGCAGGAAATGGATTTTAAGAAGATGTCTGCGCTGATTGATTCGAGTCAGAGCAGACGTGGGCCGTTACCTCGTGTCCACCAGAGTGCTTCCCTTTTACCTCAGTAGCATTTGCGTCATTCGTATCAAAAGCTGTGCTTTCTGCTTTTTGAACGGTTAGTTTATATCTAGAAAAGCATCCTGGTTGATGTTCGCCTGCCACAACAAGCTCTTACACAATGACAGAGTTCAACACAAATAATGGATTAGAGGATTGGTTCCAACAGATATGTGCTCTGCTCGTTCCAAAGCTCCACTGTAATCAGAGACCACAAATGGTTAAAAGACGGCGCGTTGGCACGTCCACGCAGACGGCGGTCAGTAGTGGGCGGGAGGGAGGCGCGCGCTCCCCGCCGCCGCACTGATTGGCCGCCGTCTCTGCTGTTTTTGTTTTGGTCTCTTGCACCGCGAAGAGAGAAGAATGTTTACGCGACATCAACCTTGCAGAGGCCGAGCCGCAGACACACAGAGTCACAATGAAAAATAGGCAGACTGTTGTTTAACCACGAGGAGAGCTGATTGTCTTTGGACCGCGAGGCCCTGAGCGGCATCGTGTGAAGCCTTGGAGGGGAGATGGAGAACCATCTCTTTTATACTTTATAACTGTTAAAACAACGCGGCTGACTGGGGGGGGAAACGAGAAGTAAACACATGTGGGGAGCTCAGCGGGCTTCATTTCACCACAAGTCCCTCGTGGTTGTTGACCCCCCCCCCCCCCCCCCCCGGAGGGTGCGGTCTGAGCATAGAGCAGCTCCACAAAGTGCAGGGAATTTTTCTTTTAAAACCGCCCTCTCATTCCCTGTTTTTCAGGGGGAGCCCCGCGTGCGCTCGGCCAGCCCCACCGGAGTGGCGTCGGCGAGGCGCCCGGCCGGCGCTCCTCTGGTGCCGGGCTCTCGGTCTGCTCCAGTGCAGCTGAAGGCCGGCTCCAGCGCCCCCAAAACCATCTTCCCCTATCCCTCACACCAGGACTCCCCACCCAAGTCCCCCCGGCGACTGAGCTTCAGCGGCATCTTCCGCTCCTCATCCTGCTCCACACCTGCAAGCATCAAAATCTTCTCCAGAACCAGGAGAGGTGAGTGCAAACGAAACCAAACTGAACACTGTAGTCGGTGGATTGACAACAACTGTGGTTGATATTGTTTTTCAAACAGGAAATGTAGTACGCAATAAAGCAGAGCAGCACTGCTGTTATCTTGTGCAAGAGCGGTTCCAGGAGGAAGGGGGTTATAAAGGAAGTACGACACGAAAGATTAAACAAAATCCTGTCGAAGATGTGACGCTGTGATGCCGCACACAGGAACTAGTGTCCATCTGATCAGATCCCATCAGATATTTACATATTTCACCAGCTCGTGACAGAAACGTTAAAAACCCGACATGCAGCATTTTTTCACATAGTAAAGAATTGTGCCAATAAGGAAATAAGAGCCCATATTTCCTCATGATAAAGAGCAAAAGAAAACAACTATTCTTTGCCATTCCCAACAAGCCAACATGGTCATGAGCCTCTTCAGGCCGAAGGCTTATCGCCTGAGGAGAGGGTAGACGTTCCTCTGTTATTACTCATGAAGAACTAAAATGGTTGTCTTTGTCATTGGTCAGAATAAAGAGAAGCTCACAATACTGTTTGTATCAGAGCCAGTTCATTAAACGCACTTACAGGTTTGGCATCCTGCAGCTGGGAGGCCGGCCATCGTGCATTGCCCAAATTCAAACTCGTGAAATACAAAAACGCTTTGTACTCGATCGACGAAGAACAGATCTAACCGGCACATTCTCGGCTCTGCATGTCTCCCAAGTAGCTTTGTGGCTGATTACATAACCAAAACACAGCCTGTTTCACATGGAAACAGCTTCCCCCGGCAACAAGATGAGTCATTTGTTTTTCGGCTCGAACACGCGCTGCCATTCTTCGGTTCTCTCGCACACTACCAGCTTGGCGAGCGGCGGCGGAGGAGCTCCGCCAGGTCCAGTCGCCCCGCTCGGCTTCCTCTGGGTATTGTGTTTGACGGTAAACCAAAACCCAGCGCGGGCCTCGGCCGCGGCCCCCTCGCGCCAGCTGCTTGGCATTTCTTCAGCGTGAGACGTGACGGTTAAATGAGTCTCCGGGTGCAGTGGTGGGGATGTTCCTGCTGTCGCCACAAGGGCGCGCTGGAGGCCCAGTCCACTCATCAGTGATTCATACATCACTGGTATTACCGGCATTTCTTTTCCTTACCAGTTTAGTAAGCGGACTTGTTTCTGACCATCATGTGTATTTCTGAGTTGCATAATATGCATCAGTCGACGGTTTTTCAGCGATGCATTCATAGCCGTACTGACCTACAAATATGTTCAGAATATCCTTTTACCTCCCGTCTGCTCTAAATGCGTAGCCGTCCATCGCCTGGACATTGTCAGTCGCTGCTGAAGGCTGCTGCGGTGTTTTCATACCCTTATCTGGAAGCGACCAGGCTCTTAGCAGCTCCTCATACAAGCAGGCAGGCTTGCTCCCCCCCCCCCTCTCGCTCTCTCCGTTGCTACCTCTCTGCGTTGTCAGTAAATAAAGGAACCCGGCAGTTTTTTCACTTTGGAGATTCATAAAGTACAGACCCTACAAGGGGCGGAGCAATTTCATACAAAACGCACCGCGGACTGTATTCAAAATCCTCATCAATCCGAACTTGGCAACCTTCAAAGTGAACAGAGCAGAGGCCCAGCGAGTACCGCAGGGCGTCCGAGGCCATGTTTCAACCCCTCGAATCGAATTAGCCATTGACCCGCCGAGCGGGAGGGGAACACTTGCATAACATGTAAATTGAGATCTGCACTGGACGCAGTGTCGCTGGTGTGAGCAGCCGGTACGGAGTGGGGCCATCTGGAAGGACTGGGGGAGGCTCGGGGTATTGAATGGGGGCTTTCTGATCAGCTGACAGAACATGGGATGTCCTCCTGCTGTCATCTGCGCCGAGTGGCCTCGGCAGTCTTAAAGGTCAGGCCCCTAAAATTACCAGACAACCGAGTGTGCAAATGGCGGCGCAGCAGGACTCCCAGACCCACGTTCACCACCTTTTGCGTCTACATCCGTAGTTCCCCAATGCTGAACTGGTGCGTTCGCTGATCCGTCGCTGCATTGTGTGAAGACGGAGTGAGACAGATGCGCCCGTGCTGACTTTCTTGTGTTTGGAGAGGGAGGGCGTTGGACGGGGGGCGGGGACACGTGCAGTCTGAGCCAATCGCTGGGTTACCCTGCAGACCGGCGTCCTTTTACAGGATGCTGACGTGCAGGCTATATTAAAGAGACGCCACCCACAGCTGCACCTGACACTGCTGGGAGGAGGGGGGGCGTTGTGGTCCTAGTTGCTCTTTGCATCACTCGCGAGAGCAGCGTTTCTCAGCTGAAGCCGCTTTCGTTCCTTCGTCCCTCGTATGGGCTGACACACGGAGCACACCGCTTCTTTTCCTCGCTGCGGTGTTCATGTTCCGGTCCAAGTAAAAGTGGAAGGATGCACCTGGAGTAGCAAACATTAGTTTATTCTCACGCAGAACATGATCCCGAGGACAGTTTTCTACGTTCACCATGCGTCCAGCAACGAGAAGGATTATCTCTCTCTACTGAAGACAGAAACTGAACGTATTGTCCTCTACATCTCTGGACTTCAGCTGCAGGTCCTGGCAATTTAGTTTCTGTGCAACTTTCTTCATGCGGCAAATGGAGTGACTGTCACTTGGCACAGCTTTTGAGCCAAACTCATATCGCGATGCGGATGTTCATGTTCATATTTAGCCTGGAAACCCCGACCCGCTGCGTGTCATGAAGAGGTTTGGCAGCCTGAGGAGGAGCAAGAAAAGGAAGGAGCAAGAAGGACTAGGAGGACGGCATCAGTCCGAGTCGTCGTGTCTGTCTGGTAATGTGCCGCTTTCCCTCTGTAACGCTGGGCATCGCGACAGGACACCAACGTGGTTTATCAAGTTTAACTAAATGCAGCGTATCATGCTTTATGCATTCTGACTGATTAACACGCCTCCTTTTAATGTTCATTTTAAAGGAGGGACTAACAGAGGTGGAGCGTGTTTTGTAGTCATCCCGCTGAAGTAATTTATCGCCGCTGTGTGATACAGTTTATTATTTCGGTGTCTCTTCAGAAGCTGCTCCAGAAAGCAAAAAAAGAATCATTTAAATGGACAGAAAGCATTTAAACTGATGTAGGTGACAAGCATGTTTTGGGGACTCTTATCTGTTTGCAATGTTACAAGGGGACAGAATGTGGAGGCCAAACGAAAAAGGCCCGGACCGCCACGCTGAGTGAAGGCAGCGATCGTAAAGTGCTCGGAATGCTCCGTGTGTGCAGCACCGGGAGACGCTGCGGGGCGTTCGAGTGGCCCTTCATCACGGACGTTACAGCTCCTGATTTACCGCCGATCTGACCTGCGTAAAGTAGATGAGAGGAGCCCGTTTTTAATGATCTACGTCCAAATGTGGCCACGTGAGATGTAGTAGAGTTCAACCTGGAGGCAGTACATGCAACCCGGTGACACCTCAGCCTAAACCATCCGCCCGTTTCATCCGGCGTCTCCAACGTTCTGCCACGATGCAGGTTGTTCAACCATGTGAAAGGAGCTGAAACCTTTTTGCTAATTGGGCTTACTGACTTTCATATCACTTTCATATACAATCACTGCACACATCTCATGCAAAACCTCAAAGCATTCAATAAACTATCAAATTTCACACAAAAAATCATTAAATCTACTCAATTGAAACGGTGAAGCAAGGAAATGTTTCTTGCTTGAGAAGCGTTGAAGGAACTATGTGACGTATGAGATTTTGAGCATGAATATATATAAAGATATACAGTGGAATGGTGTGTGTTGTAACCCGAGTTTCTCAGTTCTCGGCTACGCGTGCCACTCCGTGTACAAGAGTACTTCCCTATGCAACAGCCAGCCCTCGCCGTGTTTACGGGCGCCGCGGGGAGCGACCGCTGTAGAGGCGAGATGGCAGAGGTCAGGGCAAAGCGCCCGGCTGAAGGTGAAGTTCCACGTGGGATCAGGAAAGGTTGTGGCCATTTGTTGTGGGTTTCTAGTGGTTCTGAATGTCTGAAGAGCCTTTAATCAATCATTGAAGTAGCTACTGGTGAGGTTTGTATGAGTTGACTTATTGTTGAATTTGGCCAATCTTTTCATCTGGCATTCAAATAGTTGCAAAATAGTGTGGTGTGGAAATTCAAATTTGACTCCTCATTCTTACCGATTTTCAAGGTATGGAGAGATTACCCTTGCAAATCCAGTCGACTTTCGTCTTCCTGCAGAGTTGGAGCTTTGCAAAAGTCAGTAGGCTCTTCATTTCATCATCGTAAGTACCAGGATGGTTTGATCCACCATGGCGCACGGCGCCTGTTATCACCTGTCAATTACTGCCTCCTTGAAAACTGATGGAGTTGTAGTTGAAACGAGGGCCAAAGAAGGCAAAACCAGAGCCGTCAGTATCCACAAGAATATTTTGTAATGGGATCTACGTCTACAAGTTGCAATCCACCCAAGGCGGCCGGGTTTTCTCCGTGTTCAACGCTGAGTAAAGGTTGAGAACCCCGTGTGTTGTTCGTAAGGTCAGGTGGAGCGGACGGCTTCCTGCGTGGTGTCTGGCTGCCCCGATTAACCAGGCCGGGCAGAGGCCTCCCGGCCCCCGCTGTTATCTCCTCCTGTGGAATGTGCCACAACAGCGCGGCTAAAATAAGACGGCTACACCGCGGAAGCGGGTCAAGCCAAAGAGGGGCCGCCGCTCGCCAACTAAATGTCAGGAGATACTGTGGAGTGCGCTGGGAAAAGACAAAAGAAATGTGTTCCCTCGATTCTTTTATGAAAGGTGTCTTCAGTTTGTATAATTCTCTATTCGGAGATTATATTTGGAAATGCAAGAAAAAGTCTGGGTAGAATACTTGTGCCCTGGTTCATTTAGAGGCACACGCTTAGCGGAAATACGCTCTCTCTCATATTGTTTAACTGTACTAACAATCTTGGTTTGTTTCAACTGAAACTGATGTATTTTCACTCCTGGTGGGACATTCACATACTCCCGGCTGCGCTGGCACAGTTTAGGGTATGAAAAAAAAGGTCAACAGGTGTGAGCCGCCCGGTCCTCATCACACGCGTCCCTCATTGTCCGCGCCGTCAGAGAAATGCCGGCGCGTCGGAGTGTCGCATGTCACCATGTGTCAAGATTGTGATGCCTGATGCAGGAGAGCATGTGAGGGCTGTCATGGGAGTCATGGGAGTGACGCCGGCCACGCAAGCCTGACAGATTGATACGGCTGCTTGTATTGTAATCGGCTTAGTTATTGTAAAGGGACAACCGGGAAAAAACCTTTTGTTGTGCTTCTCTTATGCTGAATACATTATTAATCACTTTCTAGGGCGATCATTCAGAGGAGAAGAGCCCTGTGGGCGTTGTGGGACTTTTCATCCACACGCAATGCAGATGTCAACAGCTGTCCGTCCACAGCAGCTGCTGAGCAAAATGCCACAAGAATAATTGTAGCTTTAAGTTAGTCAATGACTTCATTGATACATTTCTTCTTAAAAAGAGAATTACATTAACATTTAAATATAAACTGAATATATGTGCAACCTCTGTTTATTCCAACGCTTTAATGGCTTTTAATGTTTTTAATTAATGTTTTAAATAGATGATTAAGTTATTTGTGTCTTCATGTCATATTTCACTGTATTTTATATTATTTATCTTGAGGCCCTTTAGCCAGTTTGTTTATTGTTCTCATTTAAATGTAAATGCTTGTCACACTATAAGTTAACTGAAGCCCAAACACGGGGATCAGTTGTCAGCTTTGGCCCACAGATTCCACACATTAGTGTTCGTTAGTGCGGATGGAAAAAAAAGCATTTGAAAGAAATGATGAATGATGAATGGACTAAAACAAGTGAAAGGCCTTTGCACGGCGTCACGGGTGACTCGTCCTCTGCGCAGCTCTAATCAGCACAAAACAAATGCGTGGGGCCTGAACTTGTGACTAGTAAAGGTTAGTAGATATGTCGATAGAGTATGATATCGTACACAATATCATTTTTATACGTCATGGTAAATGCATAACATAATAACTTCTTAAGGTGGATAACGTATGTACTGGATCATATTTCCATACAATATGTGTGGATGAAGTACTACTTCATAGCTGATTTGTGCCGCCCTTCTGATGGAACTTCCTCCGTGTCTGTCATCGACTTGGCCGGGACTTTTATCTCCGGCATTTGTGTTGTTTCTCAATACCCAGGACTCTCTCCGCCCCTGATGCATCAGATATGCATTCCTCGTCTGTTCTAGCACGCCACCGCGTTGATGGTATCGGCGGCGGTCACGGTTGTAGCCCCTCGGCCTTGTTATCGAGGCATATAAGCGATCCGCGTGGGGTTTCAGCGTCTGAAAACAGACCATGGGCAGACATTGAGAGAATAAAGTTGTATCTTATTATTTATTCATTTGTATCCCTCCACAGCCTCTGGACTCTCCACGCCACCCAGCACCCCGACTCAGGCTTGCAGCCCACCTGTGTTCACCCAGGAGGCCCAGGCGAGCGGGCCGAGGCCCGAACGCCTCGAGGCCGTCGCTCGATCCCGCTCGATCTCCACGCCTCCGGACACGGGACAGCGCCCCGGCCTTCCCTCTGCCAGACCCCCGATCGCCTGCTCGAGCCCCGTGCCCTCCCCCCCCTCGCAACAAGTGGGTCACACCACAAACACCTTTTACTCATTTGCCATTTAAAGCAAAACTGTTATTCTTATTTGCCCTGGGTCAGTCCTGTCCATCCGTCGTAGGTCGACGTCTATTTGGTGTGTAACGTTGTTTAGATTTCACAAACTAGTTGACCGAAGTGTCCTGGAGCTTTGGAATAGCAAAGTTATGTCAATTAGAAAAAGTATGAATTGCTTTTACTCAAAAGACTACATTTGAAATTAAAATGCTGCATTTTTGCACTGTGTGCATGAATGACTCGAATCTCTTCATTTTGAGCTCTTCCACTGGCTCACGCAGTGTTTCTGTGCGTTTACACTGTTTGCTCAGAGAATATGAACTTTATTTCTGCGTTGAAACAATCTCAACCGGCAAAAGATTCTGGATTAGTGTTCAGTGTTTTTGTCTGTGGTTTTTCATCTGCGGCCTATTTAGGAGTCACTACGGTCCGGAGTCAGGATGTGGTGCCAGATTTCCCACAGCTAGTGCACCCATTAAATGAATAACTATCCAAAGTCCTGTCGCCCCCGGTCAACTGGGTAATTGTGCATTCTAGCTAGAAGGGGGTAAATCAATATTTCATCAGCAACATTGTATACTGTCTGTATTAACTCCCAGGGACTCGTGGTTGTGCTTGAGTGATGATGAGCCAGTGAAGGGTCATCCTGTGCCCCCATCCTCTCCAACCCGTCATTCGCTTGCTAAATCCAAGCACAAAAAGCAATTCATTTAATAGATTCATGGATGTCTGCATCCCTGGGGTTTGCTGTATAACCAAAGTAGGCCACGTAGCAGGTTTTGATGCAGCAGGGCAAAGATGGACGATGCTGCAGGAGTGTTTTTGGCGAGAAACGTGCTGTGTCACCATTGCCGGCGACACAGGGGACCATGTAGCATCGCACCGCGGCATGCAGGCCTTTTCACACCGCTGTGGTGGCTTGTTGTAACGATGCTTGCAATTTAGGGACATGGGGAAATCGGGCATATCACAACTCACTCTTTCTACACGCTATGCAAATCTCTCAGCATGATGCAGCATTTTTCATAAGATGGAAATAGCCCACATCGCGTGCCGCGTGTCTCCGTTGGGGCTTGTTGTGGATCTCGGGCATATTGCTGGTTTTGCCCGAAGAAAGGACCTGTGAAGATGTGACGAGGCATCCCCCGTTTCTTGCTGCTTAGCAACGTAAGGGATTTCCTAATATGGTGAAGCGCTCAGGTTGCCCTGCACGGAGGGGCGTGTCATCAGCGCGTGGAGCTTCCTGCCTTTTCTACGGTCTGTGACACACTTGTGTTTTTCTTTCCCTCTGGCGAGTGTTTGGTAGGTTACAACCAACAAGGAATATCATTTTTTTTTTAATTATTAATGCTTCATTATTAACGCGCGCACGTGTGAACGGGACCGTTTGAGCAGCGCGTCAACATTGCGCGCGCCCCACTGCAGCAAACGTATCAGGACTGTTCCACTCGGAGTCACAAAGGGGTGTGCGCGCTCTAATAACAATAATAATAATAATAATGTGCCCCGGAAGCTGCAGCGCTACAGCACAATGTTTATGAAACGTAACTCGTGCATGTTCAGCGGACACCGAGGCGCGCGCGCGCGGGTGGAGGGGGGGGTTGCAGTGCGCGCGCACTGTGTTGATCAGTCGCTGCGAAAAGGCTTCGCACGGCAAAGTTTCCTCCGCGTGTTGTCGCGAGGACTCGCTGCGACATTCACTGCCCACTTGTGCCCCTCACAGGTCCGCGGTCCCTTCGAAGGCATGCTGGAGAAACTCCAACTCGATGATGACGGTAGGTTTCCCGCCACGCTTCTCCTTTTCAGTAGCTCTTGTGTTTGTGATGGAAGGGGACCCACGTCACCCCAGGGTGTCACGGGCATGCCAGCTGTTTCTAAGCGACGGGGTGGCCAGAAGAAGCTGCAGATACACACACACACACACACACACACACACGCACACACCGGGCGACCCATTTGCTGTGATTCGTCCCATATTGCAGGGATCTCCTCTACACTGACTTTACTGCGTTGATGTCATAGCAGATCCCTTCTATCTGAAACATTCTTGTTTCTGAATGAAGCTTTGATAGATGGAGACGTGTGCGGTAATGGAGATACTTGTTAATACTTGTATTTAAAATGGCCATTCAACAGGCCTCTGCATCTAAACAGGGCAAAAGAGTTGTCTGAGAAAGCGAATCCCAAGTACGCAGACCACGTCATATGCCTTCAGAATGTCAGACCACCAGCTTTTAAAGTGTCTATTGGAACAAATGGTTTTATTTTTACTTATTATTACTCAGTTCCCTTTTGCCACCATGGGTAATCTCAAACTGAATCATCAGTATCCCAAGTATCGCTGTGTTTTTGTTGGTGCCGATCTGAGTAGGCGGGAGGAGGGAGCACTGAAGTGGCTGTAAGTGCTCCAGACCCGTAATCGTTGTTTATGCTCTGTGTGTGTTTTCTTCCCAGGCGCCCATTACATATTCCCTGTGCGACTTCTCCTTCCTCTCAAAGTATTTTCTTCATGCTTCTTCCTGCAGCTGCTGAACCTGAGAGCGATATCTACATGCGCTTCATGAAATCCCACAAGTGCTATGACATCGTCCCCACGAGCTCCAAGCTGGTCGTGTTCGACACGGCGCTCCAAGTGAGTACTGCGGCGAAATAAAGATTCACTTTGCCGTTTCCTTTTAGAGGCTGCTAGTCTCAAAGACCGAAAGACGTTCAGCTAAAGTTAATGTTCATTAAACTGAACTATTTGCCTCCGAGCAGTTTCTATGAGCTGGTTGATGCAATTGTCATAAAGCGGTTAAACAGTAATCTCGTGGAGGCCTGTCCTCCTTTTGAAGTGTAGATCTTCAACCACTAAACCCGCCGAAGGTCAGACTAGAGGCCTTATCTAAAAGAAAATCCTAAAACCAACACAAAGCCATCCGGACTGTAGGGCCTCACAAAGACTCTAATATCTAATATGATTTAAAGTGATGTGAGAGTCTGAATGATACATGACACATCTAAGCTTTGGACAAGCGAATATTTTCCCTTTCGCTTCATTTAGAAACTAAGTTGATTGATTTATCAGATCTGCTGCCGATGAATTCCTGTCTTATAAACTAAAGATGAAGTCATGCCACATTGTTGTGAAGTATTGTGTATAATTGGGTTTTGTCTTTTCCGCTATTGCTTGACAGGTAAAGAAAGCGTTCTTTGCCTTGGTAGCCAACGGTGTGCGAGCTGCTCCGCTGTGGGACACGGAGAAGCAAAGCTTTGTGGGTAAGAACCCTGAATGCTGCTCTTATCACACGCTGAACTGACGACTTTATACTGAGTACAGTAGTATTTTCAAGAATCTACTCAACTGCCATCAGAGAGGCAGTTTAACCTGAAATGGTTTCTTTTTCTTTAGCATCTACAGATAAAATATGGCACATTCTAATGAGCGAAAAGTATGTTTTATACTTACTGCAACTGCCAGGCTCCTTCTCAGACTTTAACGTGCGCTCCACATATTTATAGTCCACAGTTCAGTTGAAAATGAAAAATGGCAGAAATTGCTCATTTGTATGTGGTGATTTCTCTTGCTGTGCTGGTGTCCCGTTGCTAAATGAACCCAGAGGACCAGCGGAGCGTTGATGCTGCTGGTTGATGCTGCTGGTTTAATGCTGCTGGTTAAAGCTGCTGGTTAATGCTGCTGGTTTAATGCGGCTGGTTAATGCTGCTGGTTTAATGCTGCTGGTTTAATGCTGCTGGTTAATCCTGCTGGTTAAAGCTGTTGGTTAATGCGGCTGGTTAATGCGGCTGGTTTAATGCTGCTGGTTTAATGCGGCTGGTTTAATGCTGCTGGTTTAATGTGGCTGGTTTAATGCGGCTGGTTAATGCTGCTGGTTTAATGCTGCTGGTTAAAGCTGTTGTTTAATGCGGCTGGTTAATGCTGCTGGTTTAATGCGGCTGGTTAATGCTGCTGGTTTAATGCGGCTGGTTAATGCTGCTGGTTAATGCTGCTGGTTTAATGCGGCTGGTTAATGCTGTTGTTTAATGCGGCTGGTTAATGCTGCTGGTTAAAGCTGCTGGTTAATGCTGCTGGTTTAATGCTGCTGCTTTCTACCGATCAGAAGTCATTAGCGCGGCCGTAAACCTCAAATGACTCTCCTCCATTGAAGTGCTCCGAGAAGTTGGAAATGCGATTTAACCAACGCGAGATCCCCAACTCTCTACCGACCCGGCACCTGTAAATCCTATGCAGAGTTTATGATGAATAATAGATGCCAGGTCAGCGTGAGGATAAAGCAGAGCGTTGAGTGATGTGCCGTCTGGACCACGCCCCCTTTTTCTACCCAATCGCACCATGCCTGCAGGCTCGGCAGCGCGTGTTGTTTATAGATTCCGAGTGCGTTTTGAACGCGTGTTTTTGTTACAGGAATGCTGACCATCACAGATTTCATCATCATACTACACCGATACTACAAGTCGCCGATGGTGCGTTTTCACGTGACATAACGTTTGCATGGGGATTCCCCCGTTTCTTCTCCTCTCATCCAGGCGTCTATCTCTTACGTTTCAGGTGCAAATATATGAATTGGAGGAACATAAGCTGGAGACGTGGAGAGGTGAGCATCCCGAGTGTGCTGTAACGTGCACAACGTAAGATTCATTGTGGTTATGATTAACCCTTTCATTTCCTTCTGCAGAGGTTTACCTTCAAGCAACGTTCAAACCTCTGGTCAACATATCACCCGATGCGAGGTAATTATCTTTTTGTGTACACGTGGGTTGATTTTTTTGTTTGTGCGATTTGTAACTGCTCATTGTGTTTGTTGTACCGCAGCCTGTTCGATGCAGTGTACACACTCATCAAAAACAAAATTCACCGCCTGCCTGTCATCGACCCCGTCACAGGGAACGCACTTTATATTCTCACACACAAGAGGATCCTCAAGTTCCTCCAGCTTTTTGTGAGTCCAATACAAACCTCAGCCGGTTGGTCAGTGAACGACTATTGATCTTTATGATGCAGTTAATGATCATTTTGACTACATGTGCTGTGCACACTGTCAGCTCCTCCTCACCTCCCTTTTGCCTGCTGCCCTCTACTGGTCAATGTGGACATTGCTCCGATACGCCCTTACTGAAATGGCGCGGCTGGAGAGTGATCCCACTCGGCATGTTCCTGCCTCATTGTGTGTTTGTGTGCGCCAGATGTGTGAAATGCCAAAGCCAGCCTTCATGAAGCAGACCCTCGGGGAGCTGGGCATCGGTTCGTACCACAACATCGCTTTCATCCACCCCAACACGCCCATCATCAAGGCACTCAACATCTTTGTGGAGAGAAGAGTGTCCGCCCTGCCTGTGGTGGATGAGTCGGGTGAGACCCGGATGGTCAAGTGTTGATAAATGCTCACGATGATAAACTTTACTCACTGAAGTGTTTTTTTTATGTACCCTTACAGGCAAAGTTGTTGATATTTACTCCAAGTTTGACGTGATTGTAAGTTGACATTTCTATATAATTTCTGTTTTTGAAGAAACAAAATGCCCAAAATCAGCTGTGTGATTTATTGACTGACTTTCCACAATGCATTTTCATTCGTGCGTAGAACTTGGCTGCTGAGAAGACGTACAACAACCTGGACATCACGGTGACGCAGGCTCTGAAACACCGCTCCCAGTACTTCGAGGGAGTCATGAAGTGCCATAAGACGGAAACGATGAAGACCATCGTGGACCGAATCGTCAAAGCTGAAGTGAGATGTTGAAGCCATATCGAGTTAAACCAGGAACAACCCCTCCGGTCTGAAACGTCTCGGTACTTGCGTGTCTTCCGCCAGGTGCATCGCTTGGTGGTGGTGGACGCGCACTCGAGCATCGAGGGCATCGTTTCCCTGTCCGACATCCTCCAGGCCCTGGTGCTCGGCCCCGCAGGTATAGATGCTCAGCGTCGCTAGCCCCAACTCCCCCCTCTCGCCCCAGACCATGAGCTCCCTCCCCCACCCCGCCCTTCCCGTGGCCCAGGTGGGACTCGAGCTGACCGGGAGGAGCCATGGCCCCTGACGCCCTGCTTGTTGTGCTGCATGATGATGACGCAGCAGTTTCGTGTGGATTTTCGGGGGGGGGGGGAAGTGTGAAAAGGCTGCCATCGTCTGTCGGGAAAAGGGACTCCACCGCTGCTAGAAACAAACCCCCCGTGCCTGCACTCAAATCCAACATTTGCACGTTTTTTTCATCATGCAGCAGCCTCAACGTGTGAATTGGTATTTGATGGGTTTGCTTTCATAGGGCCGATGTTGGGTCTGGATGCAAAACAAAGGCATGAGCTGTCCCGTGCAGATGCTTTGAAAGCAAACAAGCGGTGCCTGTATACGTTCAGTCATTTGCGCGTTGGAGCCGTCCGCGTGTTCAGGTGGGAAACGTCACACCCGGCCGTTGGCTCTCCACCCAAAGGACGTGTTCACGGTTTATGAACCAGGGCTTTCTGGGTAACCAATTTGCTGAAGAAGCCTGAATCTTGTCTTCAAACACAGGAAGCTCAGTTTTGACAGACATGGGTGTGTTTTTGTATCAATAAGTGGGCCAACTTGTTCTTACCTCCACTCTTTTGACTTAATTGCTGCCGATGGAAGCTTGTTGAAAAAGTTAGGAAAAATAAAGTGTGAAATGTGATTGTTATTGATTTCAGATCTGTAGGTTGAACATATGGCAGCATTTCTGACTATTATATTGTGAAGCCTTAAACTGTTTTTTCTTTGTTGGATATGAATCATTTTACTAACCTTTGCCAATGAATATGCTTGGCATGATGGTGGTTAAATGACGGCGGTCCTGTTCCACCTGCTCTTCTCCTCTGCAGATGCCTGTAAGGAGGAGACCCTGGGCTGAGTGAGAGGGAGGAAGCGCCGGCTGGAGTGGAGCCTGGGTGGAAGTAAATACGTTTAGTGGTTGCGGTACGGCGCGTGAGGCGGAGCCGGGTGGAGGCCCCGGGAGCCCAGAAACGGAAGCACCGCTACCTGCAGACCAAAGAGCTCGACGGCTGAATGAAGTGGACTTCCTGCGCTGAGGATGGATTCTACTGTGTTTTTTTTTTTTCCCTTTTCTGTTTGAACACACATCAGATGCGTGCACACACGTCACACTGTACTCATACATGGACTTAGAGATTCATTATTGTCACTTGCTTGATGGAAGGTGGGGAAAGTCTAGACTTCTTCTGCTTCTGAGTGCTGCAGTGTTTTGGGTTGTGTAGTTACAATCATGCCGCTGTTAACAGTGGATTTCTTTTGTTGCCGTTCGTAGTCGAAAATGAATGTTATCGCCTCCCAGGAAAATATCTCCACCAATGTTTTTGGTGTACAAAGGTCTACAGTCAAAGATGCAACTGATAGTTTGACACTTTATCCTGAAATGTAGCCAAAAGTTCCAGAGACAATACGGAGGGATTGATGCTTTTTGTCCCACCTACATCTCTTGAATTCAAAGGCAACATTTGTCACTTTCATGTAATAATCAATAGACTGATAGTAATTCCACCCTAATTTTCCCTCATTGGTTTGTCGTTTTAAATCATGCCAGAAGTGTAAAGTGAAAATATTCCAAATCAAGCTTTGGCCCAGAAACACGCAGTGGTTAGAGACAAATACAACTTTGCTTTAAAAGGATTTAGTCAGTGAGGACTTATAACCCCCCAGACTGGTAAACATCCAAAGCAACTGCTTATCTCTGCTGTAGCTTGACAGGACTCATCTCCATCTTTGACTGTAAATAGGTTAGTTTGTTTTGGGGAAACGTGTGACATAAAGCTTTATTTTTATGAATGTGTCAACGTGTTTAAAGAGACCGGTTTTAATTTTATTTTTGTAAATATATTATGGCAACATGTCCAGTTCAAAGCTACATATCAGATTAAAATGTACTGTAAACGTGCAAGCATCAGAAACTACACTTCAGCAGTACGAAGTCTTTTTGTTTTACCTTTCTATTTTTCTGGCTGCAGAAAAATAAATGATCACTGAATGTACTTTAAAATCTGTGTTAATTTTCTTCATTTTAAGAATCTTAATGTTCTCCATCTTAAAAGTTCTCCCTTATGGTCCAAATCGGCTCAGTAGTTGTTGACATATTACCCAATGGGGGTTTATGCTAATCAATTCAAATCATAGCAATTATGGAAATTGTCCATATTTAGCATCAAAAACAAACCACATGTGCGAGTTTTGCTGAACATTTCCTTCAAGAGACGTACAAGACAAAATCGAGAAGGACGGGACCGGCTGCTGCAGGGCGGCGTGACCCGAGGGGCCGGTGTGGAAGCTGTGTGGCCCCGAGGGGCTGGTGTGGAAGCTGTGTGGCCCCGAGGGGCCGGTGTGAAAGCTGTGTGGCCCCGTGAGGGCCGGTGTGGAAGCTGTGTGGCCCCGTGAGGGCCGGTGTGGAAGCTGTGTGGCCCCGAGGGGCCGGTGTGGAAGCTGTGTGGCCCCGAGGGGCCGGTGTGGAAGCTGTGTGGCCCAGTGAGGGCCGTCTCAAGAAGAGGGTTGTAAAGGAGGATTTGTTGCAACCAGACTTTTCGTCAAGCTCAACGTGGACACGATAACAGAGCCGGTCAAGTGAAAGGTAAGGAAGAACGTTATTTCGTTGAATTTTTACTCTTTATACTTAGAAACTTTTAAAAAATCAGGATTTAAAATCAATGAGTTAATCTATGCGATTAATGCGGCCCAGATTAATGCGATGAAATATTTGAACAAAACTATTTTCTTCCGGTGCGCCGCTAGCTGCAGTCAAGTTAGATGGAAAGAGCAAGACGGTAGCTGAAGAGCTTTTTCTGTTGGAAGAAAAATAAACAGGCGCAACACACAGCTGAGAACGTTGCAGCGGAATTCCATCACGTGTCAAACGAGGGATGAGTGGCAAACGGTGACTTTACGCACTGATCGGCTAAGCTAGCTGCTTGGCTAGGCTATCCGCTAGGCTACTTCCACCCCAACATCTACCCTGAAGAGGACCACCACTGCGTGAAAAAACGACTTTTTATTGCGATTAATGTATTTCAAAATTAGTTAATTATTTTTAATCTATTGACAATTTAAACCTCTATCTTTAGCTCTCTATTGGCCATCCAACCTCAACCGATGACGGGTTGCTATAAGTGTTTAAATACTTTCCTTATTCTTTCTCTGTCATATTGGCCAAATCCCTGAAACAACAACTCCACAGAGCAAATGTAATCCGTGGTTTCAGTGTACGTGTAGACCTTCTAACCTTCAGTACTCGGCATCGCCTTTTGTAAGTCTTTCTTTGTGAAGCTTTAACCAGACAGTCTGTATTGGTTTGCTGCTGAGCAGTTGGGTCCCTTCTTCTCTTCGTGGCACGTTGCCCTGAGGATATTTTAGAGCTGGGATAGGCAACCGTGTGCCAGGGAGTCCTGCGAAAAGGCTGCTCTTTATTTCCAGTGACTGCTGCAGCAGCTGATGGCTCATCCTCCGGGTCTGAAGATGATCTGCTCGATGCAATCAGCTGTTAATTTGCGTTGTGGCTCTGTGGTTTGTGTGGCGTGAGTTGTGTTTGTGGAGCAGCCACAAGGTGACACTGCAGTACACGGATCACTTCAATTCCAGCGAGTGTGAGTCTGTGCAACGAGCAGCTTCTTCTCATTGAATATTTACATTTCAGTGAGATGAGCAGTTTCCGAAGGATGCCTTTTGATCTTATTTTAAGGGAAATTGCTAGATTTCAGCAGGAAGTTTTTAATGCAGTAAAGGTTGCGTCTAAATGAGGCAAAGGTGCCGTGAGTGGATCTGATGGACTTCCAAATGAGGGGTAAATCTGGACCAGACTTACTCCACACAATCTGCTTTGATCTCCCAATCTCCCCTGTGATATCCAGCACCCGGGGGAGCCTCCTCCACACCTTGTAGGCCTAAAGCAGAAGAGGGAAGAGGGCGCGTCCATCCCCACACCCTCCTCTTCTCGCTGCCCATCCCTTTCTCTCTCTCACACACACACACACCGGACTCTCTTTTGAAAGTCTAGGGCTTGATTTAAAATTCCTCTTCAGAGCGTGTCATGCATTTTATATGCACGGCGAGTGGGAGAGAGAGAGAAAGGAGGTGTTGCGTGGAGCTCCAGCTCAAATGAACGTCCCCCACGCTGTTGATCTCCTCAGGGATACGTCTACGCACACACACACTTCCACTCCTCTCGACTCCCCGCACACCCAACTCTTTCAACATTAGTTTTACTGCATCATGCTTTTCACAAATTCCACCGAGCAGCAAGAGGGCCGCGGCCTTTGAAGACGAGCGTGATCAGAACAGAGGAAGAGGGGGGGTGAAAAAAAAAAAAAACTGCCCTGAGGCCAGGTTTTTTTTTTTTTTTTTTCTTTGCACTTGTGTTTAGGAGGGCGAGGAGGCGAGGAGACGAGGAGGAGAGGCTGACAAGTGCAGCGTTTGGGGACAGCTTTGATGTCTGCTGGGGTGCGGCCGCTGCGCCTGCACGGCCCTTCACGAGGAGACGGTGACGTGGGCACGAGCGCCGCTCACAGCTGGGGGGATAACGGGCAATCAAAGGATGCTCTCAGCCCTGGGACGTCTAATTGTCTTCCTGTCTGCTGACGCGCTCCGAGGAGAAGCCGAGGATGGAATTATAGAAAAACCAAAAAAATGAACTTGGACTGCAGCTGCTTGAGAAATCCGGTTTATTAGGAACAATATGATCCTGCTAGCTTATTGTGGATTAAAGCAGTAAACAACAGAAACACAATTCACTTTCTTTTTTTTCTTTCTTTTTTTAAGTGCTACAGGTTTGATTATACATAAAACAGTACAGCAACGTGGCGCCTACATTCGTAAATGCACAGAAAATATAAAAATGACAGTATATTGCTGTTGAGCCGTTCACTGCTCATAAATCACCTTGTGATGCCCTCTTACACACACGCGCACAAACAAACACACACACACACACACCACTAGAAATATTTCACACACTGTGAGCTGCTGTAATGGGAAATGTGGTTTGTGGGGCCAACTGAGGCTGTGTTTGAGTCCGGCAGGTCCACAGTTTACAGAGAAGCACTGAGTTGACTAAAGTTAAGCGGATAGCACAGTAACACGAGACAAACGACCTCCGGTGGGATCACGGCTATTCTCTTTAAGCTACTTTTAGTTGAAATTGAAATTAAAGATCAATACAAGTTAACTTTGGTTTCCAGCTCTCTAGAACATTACTGTAAATCTGTGGCAGTTCAAGCTGTGAGTGAGAGTAAAATCAACAGTACAGCAGCCTTAAGCCATAGTTAATACGACACAAAAATCACCTTGTTATAATAGCAGCCAGGAAAAAAAATTACAGTGTGATTCCGTAGAATAGAAAAAGTGAAAACAATTTTTTGTTAAAGTACTGATAATAAATCTGTGATCAGGTACCTCTCAATAAATAGAAGAATGCAGCTCCTGTTATTTGTGTTTTATATGCTACCCTATTCTGTTATAAACACGGTGACACATTTTTGTTGTGTGAAGACAGACCTGTCTTCCGTACATGCAACAAAGAAGTTGAACATCTTTAATGACCGAGGAAAGAAAGAGAGGAAAAAACATTGCAAAATATAATCCAAAATATTTCGTAGCTTATAAGCACTTCCAGATCTTCTATCCGACTGTAACACAAGACTAACATCAATGAGCCGAATCGATGAGCGACTGCGTCAGCGGGCCGGAGCGAGGGGACGTCTCGGGTTCCAGCACGCGGGACGCGCCGGCTTTAGTCCTAAACTGAGACCTGCTGCTGGTCGTCCACGCCGACTTTTACTCCGTCCACGTCAAACACGTGCCCCTTTTGTCAGAGCGGACTCCAGCAGCTGGAGGACACATGCTGAGCGAGTCTGCTCCGAAGCCCAGGTGAGCCCAAGGAATCTTCCCACCAGCGGACTGGTTCCGGCTGGTGGGAATTCGAAAAGAGCGGCCGGCCTTCCGTGGAGCTCCTTGGTGCGGATATGTGAGCCGTGATGGTGCTTCACCAAGCCGAGGGATTCCTGTCCAGTGGCCTCGCACATTTAAAACCGTAAAAGGCGTTGTTACTTTTACGCTGTGCTCAATATGTTCATCAACTCGTGAATTTATTGTCGTGCTTGTTGTGCTTCTTTTTTTTCCTTCTTTTTTCTGTGATAAAACAACACACTTTGGGGACTTGGCGTGCTGCAAAAATAACAAAAAAAACCCCCACACAGATCAGGATTGAGGAGCTGTCGGGCTGTAGAGGAGAGATGAGGGGGCTCAGTCTTGGCCCTCGGGGGCCGCTGGGAGCGTAATGGTGGAGCGCGTTCAGAGATGACTTGAGCTGAGGAGTGAAAGCAGAAGACACGAGCCACGCTGGTCCTAGCGAGCCGCTTCCATTAAACATTCTGAGGAGGAAGTCCTTTGAAGGACGGCTGTGGAGGAGTGAGTGTGGGTGGGTGGGGGGGGGGGTGGCGGGTTAACCCACATCCATAGTTCAAACGGGGATCTTCACCCTAACAAGCAGGGGCGGGGCTGTGGCCTTTCCGGCGTGGGGCATCATTGTCCGTGCACCCTCCACTGTCGAGGCCTCCTGACACATGCAACGTCTACTCTAACGCTCAACATTCATGCTATAACTGGTACAGAAGCAGGCAGAACAACAAAAACAAGAGGGAGGAGATGCAGGCCAGTGATGCCGCCTCCTTCCTCCTCCGCCGTTTGCTCAGCTCGGCGCGACTGCAACGAACCGGTTTGATTTGGGTCCGTTTTGACACGGGGTGAGGAGGAGGGAGTTTTCTGAAGGCGGGGAGGGGGGCTTTGAAGAGAGCACGATTGGAGAGAGTCTGAAGGTGGTCTCCGCGGGGGGTCAGTGGGAACCTGTAAAATGGAAAAAGGGGGCAGGGAGGAGGGAAGAGGGGCGCGTTCACTTCTGCGTGAGGTACGCGCCGATGGTGAGGCTGGCGGCCCCGAGAGCAGCCAGACCGAAGACGGCCCTGATGGAGGGCCAGGAGCTGCTGAAGAGGGAGTCCCTCTGCCGGTCGTACAGCTCCACAAAGGCGTCCTGTGGGGGAGACGGGAGGAGGAAGGAAGGCGGTTAATTGGACTGGCAAAAGAATGCGTTTACCTAAGAGTGCATTCTTGCATCAGCTGGTTGCTCGATGGGTGGGAGTCTACTCAGAAAATAAACACCATAAAGGGTGGAGACCTTCCTGTACACAGTTTATGATGGAAACTAAGCGCAATCTCTACCAGCCCAATAGAGTGGAAAACAAGCGATGGCTTCTTCGAATGTGATGTTTTGACTGTAAGAAAATTAAATAGGAAAATATATCGATGAAATTTGACGTATTGGTTCGCATAACGACACAAGGGTACTTTGATCACACAATCTTACTTTTAGATTCCCACCTTTTGACATTCGACCCCCCCCAAAAAAATGTATTAATTCATTAATAATGAAACATTATTTCAGTGCTCCACCCGCACAGAACCCTGTTACACACCCACCCTCAGGGAGACACACACTAAACAAACAGGGGATCACCAAGAAGAGCGGATTTGCAACTGATGTGGTATGTTTTTTTTATTGTTTCTGGCGCCTGCTGCACTCCCACATGAATATATTCATGTTACTCAGACGGCTTTCTGCTGCTAACAGGAGTTTTAAAAGAAGTGTGTGTGAGTACGTGCGAGTGTATGTATGGTCCAGGGAGCAAATGGCCCGGCTGAGGCCACGAACAAATGCAGACATCTGATCATAAGCGGTGACAGCAGGAACAGCTGGACGGGAAGTCATGGCGCTAAGATTCTCACACACACACACACACACACACACACACACACACACATGCGTAGATTATCTTGAACCCGACAAGAAAAGGGAGGAAATGTGAACTGTTGACTAAGTAATGAAGTATTTATTTAAAGCTGTGTGCATTGTGACGCCGTACATTTGAGGCCCTTTGGCGCCTGTTTGTAGCTGTAACTTGATCCATCTGTGAACAATGTACTGTGTCCTCGTCGTCTCAATGCTTCAATCTGTCTTCATTTTGACTCAGTAATCATGTTTCGCGTAATTCGTTAATTCTAACTGGAATGCTTAACTCCACCTCGATCTAGAAGCAAAACTAATACATATTTTTTCACTTTTTCGAGTATCACATTATAATATACAGCTTTCCTTTTATCAAACAATGGGCCCCAAAAAAGAGGAGCGCTCCATTCTGCAGTGCTGCGGGGGGACAGAAGTATTTCCTGTTTCCCTCCCTTCCCGTCCTGCTGCATTCCAGAGGCTGGGGGCCGGGCCGTCACACAGAGGAGGAAGGATCAGCAGTTTCTTCTCACTTCCGACCCTCTGGTGATAAAACACACTGCACTCTTATATCAGCCGCAAATATCCGTCCCCACGTTGGCATTTCCTTTGTTGCATCTTAGTGTTGGTAATTATCCAGGGCTGAAAACACGGCCGCACGGAGAGGAGAGCCTGCAGCAGCACTGTGAGTGTGAACTCAGCTGTGCTTGGTGCTCAATGCTAACAGCAGCATGCCATCATGCTAACGCCAGGCCTAACATGTTAGTTATGGACGTGCATGAAGTTGACCGTCCCGTGTAGCATGTCACCATGCTAATGTGTAGCTATAAACACAAAGTAAAGCTGGGGGGACATCGTTACTTAAAGTTTACCCCAATTCATACTTAGAGGGACATACATTGTTACATAAATGTAATAGATTTCCCTGCAATTCATCAAATATTGGCTGAAATGTTTCACACCACCGATGCCTCGTGGTGGACTGCATTCACCGGCTCCTAAAGTTACTCCCGGGTCCACATTCTGTAGAACTGTGAGGTTTTTAAAGAATTTCCTGTTACAGTGTGGGACATTTCCCAGTTAAGTAAGTTAAGTTAATTCGCAAAGCTATGTGAAAAACCAAGTATTTCAGTATTTCACGTGTTTTTTTCAGTCGAGGAGGTTGGAGAAATATTCTCCAAACGCTGAGCGTTAATGAACATATTAAATCAGGGTTTGCAGGGGAAATGTTATCAATCTCATTAAAGATGCAACAGTGCTGGCTGCTTTAGATTTACATGCTACTACAGCGCGTATGTGTATGTGTGTGTGTGTATATATATGTATGTGTGTATCCCCTCTAAGCCATGACTCCTTGTTAGTCGTCCATCGGCAGAGCTGTGAACCACTTTCACTTTCTGAGCCAAACCACGACCACCGAGAGCAGTAGAACTATTTTTGCTTCGTTACGTAACCCCGACAGGACGAAATAGACTTTTGGCGTGCTGCCACAGTCGAGGTAACTAATGGGAAACACTGGACGTGGTGGTGGGCCAACTGACATGTCCGTCCCACGCCGCTAGCATGACCGTCAGGCGTCTTTATTCCCAGCTGTGAACAGGCAGCGTCTTTCAGCAGTGCATCCCTCCCTCGCTCCTCCTCCTCTACGGGATCCAGGTAGCAAATAGAGAACAAGCTCTTTGTGTGTTAGCTGGCAAAAACACGGCCTCAGCCCCCCCCCCACACGGAAATAACAGTTTGCTGAAGCAACAACATAAACCCGGTGGCTCCGGCAGCGCGTGCGTGCGACCGGCCGCTCGCCAGGCTCGAGCAAATGGCAAAGCCGTGATGCGCGTCCTCGATGTGTCCCAGACGGCCGCATGACGTTTAAGTCGGGACAACAGCAGTGGGCCAATTACGGTAAGAGCTTCACAGGAGCTGTGATGGATGTTTAAAAGAATCTCACAAGGACGCCGGCGGTAATAACTCTAGACGGGCGAGTCGGAGGGAGGAATTGTGTCAGGTGGGTGTCATGAGACCGCGGCATGCTCCTGGAACTTTCTCCCCCCTAGGTTGGCAGGCCGTGCTGCAGCCACCATGTGACTGGAAGGGGGGGGGGGGGAACGAACTGTAAGAATTCCTATTCTCTTTCTGTTCCTCTCCCTCCTTCTGTCTTTGCAGTATCGGTCATCGTGAAAGAATTGAGCCTTTTTTCAGAAAAGTGGTTAAAAACCGGGAAACCGCTGCATTCATCACATGAACAGAAGACTCTCTACTCCTCGGGAACTCCTCTCACCGCCCTGCAGCAGACCATCTGCCAGCGACAGCAGGTATGCATCTGGGAACCAGGTTCTCCATGGTATTCTTTTCTTCTTTGGGGATCAATGGCTTTAGAAGAAAGGTCAGCGACCCCATACAGTGTCCAATGGGAAAATACCTCCATCCACACTCATTTTTACTGCACACAATGAATCCCTCTGAGACGCACAAACAGAGCAAAGGAGGCGGACTTGAGAGGATCCCAGACTCAGCCGTGGGGGGGTAACTCGCTGCCACAGTGTCATGGTTACACCCGGCTAGAAGCTTCACACATGATTTGCTTTTCCCACCAGCGGGAGAGGGCTTGTCTCCACCTCGCATTTGTTTTTCACATGATGTCGACCTCTGGGTTCTTTGCTCAGTGTCTTTCTGAAGAACACGGAGCGCTTTGCTGGCTCAGTCAAAACTCCGAGCAGCGCTTTGCCAAAACCAAATCACAAGGCGGGTCATCCCTGTGTTTGGACGGGTTAAAGTTCAAGCTCTAATTAAAGCGCCGCCGCTGCTATGCTCACCTCTAAACCGAGCACCTCCCCTCGCTCTGTTTATTTCCTAAGCAGTCACATTGTAACATGCTTCTAATATTGCACACGCTGCAGCTGCTGCTTTTCCAATGAGCTACCTGCAGATGCCCCTCCACCCAATTACGGTCGAACAAACTCCCATTTCAGCATCCAGGGGAAAGTAATACGAGCTGCAAGGAAGCCATCCATGTTCTTTGCATGTGGGTATGTTATGTTTTTATGTATCGATGCGCAGATTGCACTCGCTAGGCGACAGGACCGCGACCTCTGGTCAGGCAGCAAGGTCGGGCTCGATCGGGTCCCCGGAGCGTCATCCTTCCACTGGTACGGGCATAAAATGAGATGACAGAGGTGTTTTTCTGCACTACTCATTACCCAGTGAGCCCCCCGTCCCCCCGTCCGTGTCAGCACCGCCAAGCAGCTCGGAGCCGAGGACGCGCAGCCCTTCAGCACACTGTGACAATACTGCAATACTTGGAAACAACAACCCGGCAGCCAAACTGGGTGCAAAGCTGCACAAATCTGGGAAATGCGCCCAGTCAGCATAGAGACCATTTGCATGATGGGACTAAAGTAAACAGTAATGCTTGTTTGAGTGTATGATGCCTAATTAGTGAGCATTAGTTATTATTTAGCTGACTCTAGCTTACAAACGTACAAGAGCGTGCTGTTGAACGTCTCATCCATCTCCTCGCCAGAAAGAAAATAAGCATCTTTATTTCTATTCCTTTAATACTTTCTTTTAAAAAAGAATGTTACCCGGTTCCAGCATTTTAAATGTTAGAATCGCATGCTTTTTAAAATGGAATCTTTGGTTTTTGGATTGTTTGGATAGAAAGTATGACACTTTAAGCTTTGTAATCATCTTGTGATTGGCTGGATAATGTTCAGCATCGTCTGACATTGTACGGACCAAACAATCAAGCGAGAAAATGAAAATAATCCAGCAGATTTATTCATTGTCGTTTTTGTCCTAATCAAACAGGTGAACTTATAAACGCAAAATATGAATCGGTTTATTCATTCATTATAATCATACGACTTTATAATGTTTTGGATACAATTATTTATTTCATCAAGGTTCAAGGAACCTTCAAGGAATCAAGGTTTGTTTTTCTTTCAAGCATTTTACTTTTTTTTAATGAATATTTTGAGTGAAAGACGAAATAGAAAAAAGGATATTTCTTCCCAGCCTGTTTTGCTCATCGTCATACAGAATCCTACTGGTAACATTTTCAATTCATTTTTATTTTGAGATGAACTGTTCCAAATTAAGATCCACTAAACTTGACATTGACACTCCACATTCTTTAACCTCGTCAAGCCTCTTTAATAGTCTTATGATTTCATCCAGGAAATTAACAGCCTTTTAATCTGCTCCACAAAAATGGAAACGCAGAGTAACACCAGTCTGTTTGCCACAAAGAGACC